GGCCACTGCACTCCAGTCTGGGCGACAGAGTGAGACTCCAACTCAAAAAAGCCAAACAAACAAAAACAAAAGTATCACACTCTTATATAAAACTTGAAACCAGGTAAAATGAAACTGACTTGTTTAGAGAGGCAAACATGATAAACTAAGCACGGAAGGGATACCATAAAGGTTGGGCTAGTGGCTACCTTTATGGTAAAGGGGTACATAGGGGGCCTCCAGGATGCTGTTGTCAATGTTCTGTTTTCTTCACCTGAATGGTGGTACAGGGGTATTTACTTTCTGATTATTTGTAACATTAAACTGTTGGTTTATGCACAGAAAAGCTAAACCTAAAGGAGAAGACACAGAGCTCTGATCAACTGAAAGTTACAAAGTAAGCAAAATATCTTAGAAGAAGAACATGGAAATAGTGGGCGCCAGGAGCTGGGGGAAGGGGAAAAGAGAGGACTATTGTTCAATGAATAGAGTTTCAGTTTTACAAGATGAGAAACTTCTAGAGATCATGTATTTAACAATACTGGACTATACACTGAAAGATGATTCCAATAGTAGATTTTATGTTACTATGCTTTTGACCATGATAAAGTAAAAAAGAAATCTCTCTCCATCTTTATAAATTTAACCGTTATTAATAGGGATTTTTTTTTCTAAAAGGTAAATGAAACAAAATATAATAAACGCTGGCAAAAGATAAACCACACCTTGGGAAAATATTTCCAACAGAGGTTCCAGAAGAAGTGTTAATAGTTCTCAAATACCGAAGAAAACTTGACAAAGGGTATGATTGGTGCATTCACAAAAGAAAAAGAAAGAATAAATAAATATATGAAAACATATCATACTCACTACATTTGATAAATGCCAATAACAACAATAACAACAACAACAACAACAAAAACCCCCATAAACGTTCAACTCTAGTATGATAATTTTTGGTCTATTATTTGGAAAGTTAAAATAAAGTGCAACACCTAGTGTTGGAGAGGATGCTGGGAAAATAGGTATTCCTGAGAACAGTTATCCCCTCCACACAGGGTATAACTGATACATCCCGTTACTGATCGATGAATCAAAAGTTAAACTGGAGGCCAGGCATGGTGGCTTATGCCTGTAATCTCAGCACTCTGGGAGGCAAAGGCGAGAGGATTGCCTGAGCCCAGTGGTTGAGACCAGCTCAGGCAACTTGGTGAGACCTCATTTATACAATAAATTTTTTAAAAAATTAGCCAGCCGCAGTGGTGTGCTCCTGTAGTTCCAGCTACTTGAAAGGCTGAGGTAAGAGGATTACTTGAACCCAGAAGGTCAAGGCTGCCCCATGAATGTGCCACTGGACTCCAGCCTGGAGAACAGAGTGAGACTCTGACTCAAACAACAACAACAACAACAAAAAAAACTGGGGATACTTTTCGATGAATTAATTTACTTCTAGAGAAATAATTCTAAGGAGATGGTCAAAGAAGTATGCAGAGGTGTGTGTATAAAGAATGTTCATAAAATAAATACTTCCCTCTAGCTCCCAGGTTGTGATCTTTAAATACTATTTGCCACTAAAATGAAAAAATCAGGAGTCAACGGAGAAATGGTTGCTTTTAGGTCTGGGGCAGGAGATGTGCAAGTGGTCCTGTACCACCTTGTCATGCCAAGATGACATTAAAGTATCTGAGAGGACAACATTAAATTCTCTTTACTGGAGAATGTCCTTGGAGGACAGAAAAGAAGACAGGTGACCAGATCTTATCTCCTTGTCAATTGAACCTTCAAGTAAATAGACTAAAAATAATGGCATAGGAGGAAGAGATGTTATCTATGGAATGCCCTAGCAGGAAGTCCCCAGCCAAAGGATTTCTTAAAGTAAATCAACCCAGGATCCATGAGGCATGATTAGAGTGTCCCTGAGAAGCTTTACAATGAATTCCCTGGAGTATAAAATGGAATGTTTCATTATTTACACTTCATAATCTAAATATGCCCCTGTAGGCCAGGCTCGGTGGCTCAGCCTGTAATCCCAGCACTTCGGGAGGCCGAGGCAAGAGGATTGCCTGAGCTCGCGAGTTCGAGACCCATCCAGGCAATTTGGCGAGACCTGTCTCTACAATAAATCAAAAACTAGCCAGGAGTGGTAGTGCGTGCCTATAGTTCCAGTTACTTGGAAGACAGAGGCGGAAGGATCACCGGTGCCCAGCGGGTTGAGGTTGTGGTGGCCAGGAGCATGCCACTGTACTCCAGTCTGGGCGACAGAGTGAGACTCCAACTCAAAAAATTAAAAAATAATAAATAAATAAATAAGCCCCTGTATGAAGAACTGTGTGAACCTCACTTAGAGAGTTTCTATTATTCCAAATTATTGTTCCAAATTATTATTATTGCTGTTGGGAAGAAGGACCCGGAAGATGAGGTGTGATGTCTCAGAAGTGTTGCTGCTTCATCTGAAATTACTAGTAAGGCTTGATGGTGGGGGAAGTTGCTGGGTTATGTGTCTAATTTGACAATCTGATCCTGTATGTTAGATCAGTAACCAGACGTACTTGGATACCACTGGAAAAAGACTCAGGAGTGAATCTGAAGAAGCTCCCAGCAGGCAGAGATGAACATTTTGAAATTGAATAAGAACAATAACTGCCATGGGTTAAAACAACAAGTATGCTTAAATGCATGCTACTAATGATATTAAAAACAAAATCAACCACACAAAAACCTTTCTGGTCACTTTTGTAGGATGCTAGGGAACCAAATTACTATTTTGAAAACTGGTAAATAAAGGAAAAGAAAAGAACATTATCTTTCCTTTCCTATACCTCAGGGTAATCTAATGGTTAATGTTATTATTACTCTTTTTAGAAGTACTCCAATGAGTAAATAAAGATGAAATGATAAAATATCACCATTTTGTAACCCCAAAGATGAATGGATCTGGGCAATGATCATCAACAGCTGCCAATATCTCACACACACACACACACACACACACACACACACACAACAACAACAACCAGAAGCATATAACTCCAGAAATGAAGGCTTGTGAAAACAAAAACACAGTATCTTATCAGGCCTCTAGATCTGACTACCAATTTACAAGAAAGGCAGGCAACAGAGAGACGCTAAATAAATGACTGCATCCCTTGCAGTCTGCAAAATCCAGATCTCAGGAAACATTTCAGGATAAATGATCTAGTTTCTTAAAAAAAAAAATCAAGGAAAAGAAGTAATGTGGGGAAGAAACCCATAAAGTGAGAGACCTAGGAGACATTTCAGTCAGCCGCAGCTGCAGCGTATGGACCTCATTGGGATCTGGATTCAAGCAACAAAAAGAATAAATACATAGATAAATAAAATATAAAAGAAAATAAAAGACTTGGTAAAGTGTGAATGAATACTGGATATTTTATGATCAAGGAATTCTCATTAATTTTTAATGTAATAATATTGTGAGTTTTAAAAATAAATACACATTCTCAGATATTTACAGATAAGATAAAATGATGTCTTGAGAATTGCTTCAAAATAATACAGAGTGAGATGGAGCTGATGGAAGTGCTGCTGAAACAAGACTGGCCCTTTTGATAGCTGCTGAAGTAAGGGGATGGGTGACTCAGGTTCATCATATGCCTTCTCTACTTTTGTATGATATGGCTTAAGATTAGAAAGACCATTGGCTGCCACATACAAGCAGACCTGTTAGGTGGCCACTGCAGTAACCAGACACTAGATGGCGCTATCAGTGGGGGTGGTTGGACTCTGGGTATACAATATTTTTAAAGCAGAGTCGCCTGTTTTTCTAATGGATATAATGCGGTGTGATAATATTCTCATGATCTTTTGTTGACTTTTATATTTATTTATTTTTCCCTCCCCTCCACTTCCCTGTCCCCTTTTTGTTGACTTTTAAAAAAATCATTATTTATAGACACTAAACTGTAAAAAGCTTATCTTGTTTAAAGATTTTTAAATGAGTTTTTTTTTTAATCAGAAAATGAGCTTGGGAGGTTTAAAAACAATAAATAAAATACAATAAAACAATAAAAAATAGTTCAAAAGCATTGCTATCACAACAAAATTTAATAGCCATTCTGGGTCTGTGGTTTAGAAAATAAAGTTCCACAATTTCATCTGAAACCTTTCGTACTGCATGTATCAGAACTTAGAACTTTTCAGAATTTAGAAAGGAAATGTAGAGCATCTATGGTAAACTGTGTAAACCCCAATGGGAACTGGGGTAGATTCCTTTCATCAAAGGCATTAATATTTCTGCAGTGAAACATATGAACGTTCACACTAAGTGAAATGAAGTTAATAAATGGCCTTATATTAGAAGAGTTTGGATGTATTACTAGCAAATGAGTTTTGGAGCCAAACATATAAAAACATCTTTTGGCTTTCAGATTTTGGCATGGCAGTTAAGGGTTTTTATTTATTTACTTATTTATTTTTTGAGTCAGGGTCTCACTCTTTCAGTCAGGCTGCAGTGCAGTGGCATGATCATAGCTCACTATAGCCTTGACCTCCTGGAGTCAGGTGATCCTCCTGCCTCAGTCTTCTGAGTAGCTGGGACTACAGATGCACGTCACCATGCCCACCTGACTTTTGTTTTGTTTTATAGAGATGAGGTCTCACTATGTTGCCCAGGCTGGTCTTGAACTCCTGGGCTCAAGTGATTCTCCTGCCTCAGTTTCCCAAAATGCTGCGATTAGAGGCATGAGCCACCACACCCTGCTGCAGATAAGGAATTTCAATTCAATTTGGCATACCATATTGAGTACTTACTCTGTGCCCCTGCTATTGAAACCCTTATACCGGAATTAAATCAGTAAGCCAATAACTTAAATAGAAGGTGGGGACGTTCTAGGTAGCAAGAACAACAGAAAAACACAAAGGTTGTTAAGAGTGGGCTGTGTTCAGGGAACAAAATAGCCAAGCTTGATTTGTTCTGTTTGACAGAACATAAGATTACATCCTTTAATAAAGTAGGCAGCTAATGTTTGAAATGTTGTGTTTACCAATGCTCCTTTTATCATCATCAGCATGCTACTTTTCATCAGCATGGTGTGTGTGTGTGTGTGTGTGTGTGTGTACGAGTGTACAGCATTTCAAGGGCTAGGACCATTGGTGAGACTTTATAGAATTTAACGCTCTGGGTACTAAGGAGCTGAAACAGCTCTCTAAATCATTAATGCAGCATGGATGACTAAGAACATTTCTGTGGATTGGGCCTATGCCATTCAGCAGGAAGTATAACAACAAGACTTTCTGAGCACTGTGTTTAGAGGTCTCCCCTCTTCCATGGAAGGTACCAGGGTAAACCATGTAAGCAATCAGTTCTGGGGGACCCTGGACTCAGATTGTACATGCAATTTCACTGATGTAAGCTGCTGACTTGAGTTCCATTTGTTTAGGGAAGCCTATTAATTTTTTGGCAATGCAGAATGAAAATCTCATTCATTCTTTGGTTTAATCGAATATGACCAACTGAGGGCAATTTCAATGCTGACAGATTTTGGGTGGGACAAGTCATTCCTGAAAGACAATTTGGGTAGGAGCTGCTCTTTCTTCTGTATTGACAGAGAAGCCTTGTGCCCTAAATAAGGCAAGGGTCACATTTTATTTTCACAACTGTCACACAGACCACTGAGTCAATCAAAGGGCTGGCCTCAGCTATAATGGATGTCCCAAAGAGGATGAGAGATTGTAGGGCTGTGGCTACATTGAGGGGCTCTCAGCTGAAAGAACAGTACAGACAGCTGGGTAGGGTCCCACCCTGGATGTTGTGGCTTTCAGAGACTGCACTCCTGGCTGTTTACAGCTGGGAACTGGAGCTGGAGGAAGGTTCTTGGGTGCGGTGGTTAACCAGGTTCTGTAGTGGCACTCGCTGACCTCCAGAGGGTGCTCCATCCAGGACTGCTCAGTGAGACTGATAACATCACCCTCCCCCCTATTGGGAACTGTCACCGTGTGGACTTTTAGCATCAGGCACTGCGCAGAGGCTTTCCATCAGCCTCACTTCTCCTGTAAGTCTAGAAGAGACGAATACAACTGGCTTTGGTTTGAGTTTCTTTCCCCCCCCCCACTTGCTATGTGATCTCTGGCAAAAGCTTTTGACTTGTCAAAAATTGCAAACAAACAAAACAAAACAAAAGAAAAAAACGAGGGTAAGATTGTATATTCAGAGCTCTGATGAAGTAAGATAAAGTAGGTAACATGAGCACTGGCTGGACACAGAAAGCACTGAAGATCACGTAGGTACAATCATTAGGATAGCTGGAATTCCAGTTCTTCTAGCTCAAGGGCCTGAGTAGATTTTTGTTTTTTATATGCGGCAAATCTAGTTGCTTTTAAGAAATCCCTCTGGCTGGATGCACTAGGACCATGTTCATGTTCACCTTCTCAGCCTTGGTAATAGTGGTCCCTATCACAAACATTCACACTTTTAGTGTTTCCAGGAACTTTGAATCAAAGCGGACGTAACGTGAATCCATAGCACCACTCCAGGCGAGAAAGTACTGAAGAGGAAGCTATATGATCCTTACCACTTCACGCTTTTCCACTTCAAACCAGCGGGAAATGCCAGGCAAACTCTGCACCAAGTATAATGACGTCCTCTCCACCCAGAGACTCTGCAAAATATGAAGCAAATTGAATCCCCAAGTCGCCCTCCTGTTAACAAAGGTCCTGCACTATGACTAGTGTTTGTCCTTCATTGCTACTAGGCTTTGTTTATTCCTGTTGGCTTTTCTTTCATCTTCACACAAGCACTCAGGAAATTATCACAGTAAGATATTGCTGAGCCTTATGTTAATAAATTCATTGTACGTCATCAAACTTTTTTGTATGTAAAATAAATGAGCTCCTACTTCAGACAGCAAGCTTAACAATATAAAAATAGGCCATCGTATTATTTTCTTCACTGTTTCTCTAAAATTCCAATTTAAACTCTCTTTACTCCTCAGGGTCTAGCCATTTTTATCTGGAAGGGGTAATCGTATCAGCCAGTCACTACAAAATTAGGATAGACTCCTAAAGGAAGAATAGGCTCAAGGCGTCACGTAGCTTGGACTTTCTACTTTTAAAGGGACCTACTCAAAAGATACATCTAGTTACCTGTAGAACCAGGACTTCTGACTCCTCCTCTATTGCTATGTCCACTGTGCCACATTCTCTTGTGCCTGTTTGAACTGCTATCCTTGAGTCAATTCTGTATTCCAGAGACTGGCTCCCTCTGGCCAGGGGACCCATGAAGCCCTACTGCTTTTGACACAAGCTGCTGTTGATGAGAGGCTTCTCTTTTGTCCACTGGGTTTCAGCATCTGGGCCTTAACTTTCTTATTTAAACTAAATGTATTCCCAAGAGGATAATAAGCTTTACAGAATTTCTGAAACAGCGCCATGTATTCAAACAACAACAACAAATGGAAGCCCTTCTTTGGGCCAGCCTAGATGTACTGAGATGAATACAGCCAGCCACAGTCCCTGTGACAAGAACTTGCAGTGAGTGTTCTGACGTGTTGACAGGGAGGTCAGAAGATAAACAGAAGCTCAGAGCAAAGAGGAAGAAGGGGTGTTCAAGGTGCGGAGGGAAAACAGAGGAAGATGCAGGCACACACGCCAGCCTGGGGGAGGAGAGCAGCAGTTCTCAGAGGAGGCGACACGTGAGCTGCATTTTGAAGAGTGAGTAGGAGTTTGCCAGGAGGAGAGTGGGGGTAGCAGCACAGGCAGGAGGAAGCAGCAGGCAGGGAGACAGAGCTGCTTGGGAAAGGGCATGGGGAGAGAGGAAGGGAAGTTGAGTGTCGCTGGAGCTGAGAGGAAGGGGGTGTGTGTGAGTTGTGGAGGAGATGAGGCTTCTGGAGGGGCAGTTTGGAGCCAGATTCTGAGGGCTATCTGCAAAGGAGTAAGGAGCCAGATCTGTTGTTATTTTTTAGGAGGACTGCTGGGCCACTGATAAATATTTAAAGGGATGGCCACAAGGTAATATGGGGCAGTGGAAAAGGCAGTGGAGGAGTCAGAGAATGTGGGTTCTAGAACCAGGTCTACCTACCAATCATCAGAATGTGACTCTGAACAAGTCAACGATCTGATGCCAGTGGATTTTTGAGTATTTTTTCACTAGAAGCAACTGCAAGGCAAACTCTATCACAAACTAACCATATCTTTCATTGATTTTGGAAGGTGAAAATAAAAATATAAGCATCCAGGAAGGACTAGAAGATGATCACAGGTATTTTCAGTAATCCCAGTGTTATTTTCCAGTTGTCTCCTTGACACGCGGCCCACCCAATCTGCTTGCACCAAGGACTGCCCTTTATTTAACCCCAACAAAACTCTGTAAAACTCTCATGCCTTTCCCTTCTGATCTCTTCTTGGCTGTGAATAATTCTGGAATGACATTCTGGGAGCGCTGGGAGCCTGACACTCAGGCAGAGCTGGCCAGGTGAGTTCCCATTAGACAAATCATAGTGTTAGAAGCACATTTCCTAGTTTAAGGAGAGAATATCTTTATTGAAAGATGCTAAGCCAATTAGCCCACAATAATAAGTTCATTTTGCAGTCTTTGTTTAGGTTCGAAATACTGACCACCTGGGAATGTATCTGGTTTCACTATGTCACTGTTTGCAAAAAAGCGGTAAATTCTAATTTATCTGCTGAACAATTCTGCCCCTTTCCCTCAGTGGGGCTGTGAGAAATCTTATCCTTTTCTGACTGAGAGGGTGTTGAACTAGTTACGCATATTGAAGCTTCTGAGAGCAGAGAATTCAACATACATAGAGTTCAAGATTTACTTTTTTTTACTCTGGGTCCTCTCAAAAGTCCTCATTACATACTGTTCTAAAAAGAAAAAGCAGTAATAGATGGTGCAGAACTTACCCATCGGCCCAGCCGTCTACCCAACTGTTCTCTGCTTCAGGAACCTCCTTTTCCCTGTTCATTAAGTATTCTTTCCTCACTGCACTCTACTGTATCTGAGAATAAATATCCTGACGTTCCCGCAACTGGTTCAACATGAATGAATGAGAGAACTGAGCTCAATCAAGAGTTCTCAAAGACTAGCCTTAGGACCCCTGGCATTAGAATCATCACAAAAAGACTGGTACCAAAACTTCCTCCCAGACCCACTGAGTCAGAATTCCTGGGCTGGAGACCAGAAGACTGCTTGGTCAGAATGTACTACATGTCACTCTGATACACAGCAAAGTAGCAGAACCAACTAGACTACATGATTTCTGTGAGGGGGACCCCAAAAAACCCAGAATTATTTTTTTGGAGGGCAGGCCCCTGGTAGCACGACTTCCATCACTAGGTAAGTGTTCTAGGAACCCATCAGCATCAGTGTACCAGCTAGCATTGTTGTGAGAGGCTGCATTCGGTTTAAATGAGTATTTTTTTGGAGATTCTTTCAAAGTGTTTGTCCATTTCATGATGGGTGATTTACCAGTGCACCTGCCCACACTGTGCTGAGTGTTCAGCAGTTTTTGACCAAAAAAGGCATGAACCCCGTACCCCACCTTCCCTTTTCACCCAATCTCGCCCGACTTTTTTTATTTTTCTGGATGCAAAAAGACCTCAAAGGGAAACATTTTGCCAATGTAGAAGAGGTGAAACAAAAAAACAGAAGCACTAAAAGGCATCAAAGTGGACAAGTTCAAAACTATTTTGAGCAGTGTTTGAAAAAAGCACCTTGATAGGTATATTTCATCAAACGGAGAAGAATTTGAAGATGACTGAAGTTTAAGCATGTAAGAATAGATACACAATTTTTAATAAATATTCCAGGTTTTTTGGGTCCCCCTTCATATAGTACCTTCTGATTCAGACAATTGATACTATTCTGAGTAAATATTAACCAAGGGTGGTACCCCCAGGTGCTCACAATCTATCTGGGGAGTTAGCATGTAATAAGGACTGCATGGTACCTTGAACTCATTCTCTTTATCCTTAGTGCCTTTGTGAAATGGTCTGTCATAGCGGAATTTCCAGATATGATTCACTTTATAAAAACTTTTGATGTTGTCCGGGACACCCTCCCTCTGCAGGACCTCTTGGCTCTCCGGAATGGGAGTCACGGCATATATTTGCAAATCTAGGATTCAAGAGTCAAGGAGAGAACCCGACTTGGCAAACTCCATAGAAGTCTGGCTCGAGCAGAGCTGTGGCAGGGAGGAGAGGATGGGTAACAATCTGGTGTTTCCATTTTGGTTAGAGTCATTTTAAAAACTGCCAAGAACTCAGTGAGTAGCAAATCATGTCTCAAACTATAGGCCTTGAACTAGTTCTAGGTAGGTGAAGTAACAGTTTGAAATTTCCATGAACTGTGAATTTAGATAACACTAGCCTCTTTTTGTTGGGGTGGATGGGAAAGGTTTGGGTCTTAGGAAGTCAGAATTCGGATCACCCTAATCCTTGTCATGAGACAATTTTTAGTCTGTGCATGACCCATTTAAATTCACTATTTGCTTATAATAATGTGTAAAGACCTATACAACCATAACCAAAGGCAGAAACCAGAACAATGACACTGACTTACATTTACCTGTGTGATTTTCTGTGTCCCCAACCTTCCCACATTTGTGGTATCTGCTCTCCCAAATCTTGTACGGATAGACAGAGTATTTATAGTTGTTCCTTTTTAAAAATTACATTATATTTACTTGGATATTTACTCCTTCTCTTCTCATTCAATGAAAGATAGAAAGTATTTTTCTATTTGTAATTTCTTTCATATTGGTTTCTGCTTTGTTATGGTATCCATAATGTTAGTGGAAGTTTCAGGTATATTGCTTAAGGCTTTCAGTTTCAGGAAGAGGCAGAGGGACTCACAAAGGAGTGTGAGGCAAACTGCCTTTGTCTCTAATGTCTATGTAATTTCATTTGAGTTGTTTGTATTTAGACATGGCAGTGTGAATTAAAAAGCAATTATTAAAGGCTGTCTGGGACATTATAGCTAAGAGGCCCCAAAAGATACGGTACCTCTTCTCTCTCATCTACATTCCAGAATAAAAATATCAGGGGGACAAAGGGTAGATAGCGTATACCTGTAAACATAATGCTATCATTTTCTTGAACTGAAGTAATTTCCACAGGATATACAGAGGAAAATTATTCTGTAGGAAATCACTAAAAAAGAGCTTTAAAAGCAGGGTTGAGATACACAAGAGGCTTAATTAAAAGGGAACTATGCTTTTAAGGGGTTTTCTTTCAACTAACATCATGATAATAAATGGAACAATTAAGCTCTGCTCAGAAGGAGCTAAACTGAAATTATGAAGACGAGAAAGCGGGAGAGTAAGAATGTGGCTATCAAGAAGGGCCCTGAGGCTGAACAACCTTGCAGGAAAATGCTCCGTAGCTAAGAGCCAGTGTCATCTCACTGGAATCTTGCCCTTGCAGGTGTGGATACATTGAGCTTCTGCCTGGAAGATGGTCTCATCAGGCTGGTTGGCATGCTGCATGGCAATGGCGTGGGGAAACTCATTCAGCATTCTCTGTTGGAAGGCTTCCAGTCTCTCATAGTCATGACCTCGACACACAAACTCCTTATTCTGGAGATGGAACCCAAAAAGAAAGTAGGGCTATATCATTAAGTGCGTTAATTACAGAGAAGCCAAAAAATAGGACATGGACAGTAAATGACCACATGCCCCTTATCAATATACTCTAACAAGAAAAAAATAAACTGAAACAGTCTGAGTAATTTGTCCCAATGTAAACAAACAAACAAATAATTAGAGACAGTGTCTCACTCTGTTGCCCAGGCTGCAGTACAACTGTACAATCATAGTTCACTGCAGTCTTGAACTCCTAGCCTTAAATGATCCTCCTGCTTCAGCCTTCTGAGCAGCTAGAACTACAGACACATGTCACCAGGTTCAGCTAATTAAAACTTTTTTTTTTGGTAGAGATGGAGTCTCGCTATGTTGCCCAGGCTGGTCTTGAACTCCTGGCCTCAAGCAATCTTTCCATCTTGGCCTTCCAAAGTACTGGGATTATAAGTGTGAGCCACTGTGTCCAGGCTGTTGAAATATTAAAAATGCAAGATGAAGAACATGAAACTTCACTCTCTACTGCTTTTATTATTATTTTTTAAAGTCAGAATCTCACTCTGTCACCCAGACTGGAGTGCAATGGCATGCTCACAGCCACCGCAGCCTTGACCTGTAGGGCTCAGGCGGTCCTTCTGCCTCGGCCTTTCAAGTAGTTGGAACTACAGGCGCGCGCTACCACGCCTGGCTTATTTTTTGATTTATTGTAGAGATGAGGTCTCACCAAGTTGCCCAGGCTGGTCTCGAACCCCTGAGCTCAGGTAATCCTCTCGCCTTGGCTTCCCAAAGTGCTGGGATTACAGGCTTGAGCTATCGCGCCTGTCCTTCTTCTGCTTTTAATAAGAACAAATAGAATGCATCACTCTTCTCAAGTCACTTGCATGAGGTACAAAGAGGTTTTGATTCTCAGAGTACCAAATTATAAAAACAAAGCAACAGTGTTCCCTTTAAATGTTCATGAGTACATGTGTTAAAGATTATTTTTATAAAGTTCATATCTAACTCATGTGGATAAAGTCACTATTTGGAGGAAAAGTAAAGACAATCTCTAAAAATACATTTTATTACATTTTTCCTAAAAGGCCACTGAGATCAGCCTTAATACTTTCACTAAGTGGAGCCTTCCATGGAAAGAAGACAGCCCATCTGTATTCCAGCTTTGGGAAGGGCTGGCAGAGAAACTTCCCTGCCACAACCAGCTTAGCTCTTGGAGCTAGGAATCCTGTTAACTGGCTGAAACTAAGGATGAGGATTTTTAGGGCCTTGCTAAATGTTGGACCTATTTTTATCTGTTTGTTTGTTTTTTTTAAATTTTCTCTCTATATAAATATTCTGTGGGTCATGACTCTCTTATTCAGGTAAGAATGGTGAAGGCTAAGAGAGCTGGGAAGATGGGCAGTTTTCCCAGCTCTCTTAGTGATCTGCTTGGATATGAGGAACTCTTTCTGACAGTTTAATAATAATGAAATTATAGTTGTTGAGCACGGTCATTGATAAAACACTCCACATAAATCTTATTTAACCCATATGAACTTGAGAGGTAGTCACCCACACACCCTATTTTATAATTAGGGAACCAAGACTTCAAGTTTGGTTTTTTTTTTTTGAGTCAGAGTCTCACTCTGTTGCCCACGCTGGAGTGCAGTGGCACAATCATGGCTCACCACAGTCTTGAACTCCCGGGCTCAGGCAATCCTTCTGCCTTAGCTTCCCATGTAGCTGGGGCTACAGGTGGGGGCTACTGTGTTCGGCTAATTTTTTTATTTTTTGTATTATTTTTTGTAGAGAAGAGGTCTTGCTATGTTGCCCAGGCTTTTCTTGAATTCCTGGGCTCAAGCAATCTTCCAGCCTTGACCTCCAAGAGTGCTGGGCTTACAGGTGTAAGCTGTTGTGCCCAGTCAGTTCTGAGTGCTTAAGTATTTTGTCCACATGTACTAAACTGAGACTCAGGTCTGAGTCTAAACCCTGAGTGCTGTCTACTCCGAACATGGCCTGGTATATCCAGGAAAAGCTCCTAGTAGCTACCAAGATCAAGAAAGGTCATGGGATCTCATGCCCTGGAGATCGTGAAAAAAGAAGAGAGAGCAGTACATGGCCTGGGGAGATAAGACCAAAGTTTTCAGTGTTTTTCAGGTCTATGAGGTTCCTATTTTTGCATAAACTGCCCTTCTGAGCTGTATTTTTAAAATTCTGCTCAAAAGATAATAAATTTGCTCAATAAAATACAATACATCTCTTCCTGCCTATTACAGGAACCCAAAATAATATCTGAAGAGCATAATAACTGAAATATTTTTAAATACAATGCTTATATATAACAACAGTCTGTAAAAATCAGAGAGTTACTCTAAGCATATAAGCATTCAATGGTATTGAGAAACCATTTTGTTGCATTCGTACGAAGTTCCAACTACTTGGGAGGCTAAGGCGAGAGAATTACTTGAGGCCAGGAGTTTGAGACCAGCCTGGGCAACAAAGTTAAATAAAATTTAAGAAAAATTAGCTGGTGTAGTGATGTGCACATTTATATCTAACTACTTGGGAAGCTAAGTTGGGAGGATCTCTTGAGCACAGGAATTCAAGGCTGCAGTGCCATGATTATGAGGCATAATTTCCGAACATTTTCAACATCTCAAAAAGAAATCCTGTGACTAGTATCAGTCACTTCCTATTTTCACCTTCCCCCAGCCCCTGACAACCAGAAAACTACTTTCTGTTTCCATGAATTTGCCTTACGGAATTATACAATGTGGCTGGCCTTTTGTAACTGGTTTCTTTCACGCAACATGATCCTTCAAAGTTCATCCATTTTGTAGCATATATCAGTACTTCCTCTTCCACTTTTTTTTTTTTTTTTTGAGTTGGAGTCTCACTCTGTCGCCCAGGCTGGAGTGCAGTGACACGCTCACGGCTACAGCAGCTTCAACCTACAGGGCTCAGGTGATCCTATCGCCTCAGCCTTCCAAGTAGCTGGAACTATGGATGCATGCTACCACACCCGGCTTATTCTTTCATTTATTGTAGAGACGAGGTCTTACCAAGTTGCCCAGGTTGGTTTCAAACCCCTGAGCTCAGGCAATCCTCTCGCCTCGGCCTCCCAAAGTGCTGGGATTACAGGGTTGAGCCACGCTCCTGGCCTGCTTCCTCTTTTTTTATTGCTAAGTAATATTCCACTGCATAGATACACTACATTTTGTTTATCCATTTGTCAGTTGATGGCACTGGGAAGTTTCCATGTTTTGGCTATTATGAATAATGCTATGAAGATTCAGAGAACGCTTTTGGTGAACATATAGTTTCAATATTCTTTAATATATATTAGGCTTAGAACCACTGGGTCATTCAGATTTATCAACACTCTTTAAAGAACCCATTTTCCATGAGGGGAAAAGATTGCTTAGATCGTACAATTGTATAAATGTGTTAAATTATTTGAGCTTTAAAAATTATCTTAAAATCAAACAATGAAAGGAAGTTTTAAATGTTAATATTTACTTATTTTTAAATAAAAGAACAGACTAGAATTTGAGTTCCTCAAAAAAATGTCCGACCCCAAGATTCCGAAGAGTGCAGTGCCCTTTAGAAACCAATAGAGGGGGACCCTTCTCCTTCTTTTGGAAGGAAACGCCATTTATAACCTGGAAAACTGTTTTAAAAAAGAATGATACAGAAAATTGATTTATTCTAATTGACTTTTTAACAAAATTTATTCAATTAGCTAATGCAGTTTTCTAATTTGCTAAACTCTCCTTAAATTATGACTCTTGCATTACTTCTAATTTTTTAAAACTTTACACTTTTAATTAACAGTAATTGCACATAATAGACAGATATCTATGGCACCTCACTGTACACTTTCTGGCTAAACTCAGAATTTGGTCAGAGCAGCATCACGTTTTTTGTGGACCCTAGACACTTTTGCCTACCTAGGTCCCCCATAATTTTTTTTTTTTTTTTTGAGTCAGGGTTCTCATTCTGTCACCCAGTCTGAAGTGCAGTGGCATGATTATGGCTCATGTCTCATGGCTTACTGCAGCCTCGACCTCCTGGGCTCAGGTGATCCTTTTGGCTCAGCATCCCAAGTAGCTGGGACTACAGGTTTACACCACCATGCCTGGTTAATTTTTGGATTTTTGTTTTTTGTAGAGCAAGGTCTTGCTATGTTGCCTAGGCTGGTCTCGAACCCCTGGGCTCAAGCAATCCTCCCACCTCAGTCTCCCAAAGTGCTGGGATTATATGCATGAGCCATCTCGCCCGGCCCATAAAAAATGTTGAAAATTATATTGTACAAGTAATTTGGTATATCAACATTAATATTATCTAATGTATAACATACAATAAACTACATAATGTATTATAACATTTTCTTCAACCTAAAAGTTCTGAAAACATTTGGTCCCTAATTATTGCACCTACTATACATAATGGATAGGTTAACCCTGGGTATGATATGAAAGAAAACATAACCTTTCACTTTGCACCATGTTGTGCTAACAGAGGAAAGGGCTGTACAGTTGCAGCATCATGTCTAGACCCTACTGTGCAGTCTCTAGCCCTCTGTGCTGCTCACATCTAGGTCTGTTACTCCACTCAGAACCTCAGTCTGGGCCATGTGTACTCCTCGGGGGGGAGGGGGGGGTTGCCGATAATAGCTCAGGACTATGTGTACTTCCAAAACCTAGTCTTTTAAATTCAGCATGTGTTCTTCGAATTTGCTTTTTTCTTTCTTTCTCTTTTGTAGACAGGGTCTTGCTATGTTTCCCAGGCTGGTCTTGAAATTATGAGTTTAGGCGATCCTCCTACCTCAGCTTCCTGGGTAACTGGGATTACAAGCGTGTGTCACTGCAACTACCTGCCATTGTTTTCATTCTGGGATTGAGATTTCCTTCTTCTCAAGCAGCTCCAGCTGCAGAGTTAGTCTTGTGACCAGGCACAACATCATGAGGATTCTCTTGTGATGCAACTAGTAGATTTCACATGGTGTCTCTGTAGCACCCAAACCCATGGGCATTTCTATCAACTGAAGAAAGCATCAACCTATCATTTCAGTATTTGTTCCTTGTGAAATTAAAATGAATAGTCTGTCTGACTATCTATCTGTCTTATCTACCTATCATTTATCATCTATCCATATCTATCACTTATCTATCATCTATCCTATCTATATATCTATCCAGCCAGCCAGCCAGCATCTATCCTACCTACCGACCTACCTACCATCCTATCTATCTATATTCTCTATCTACCTATCTATCATTTATTATTCATCTATATCTATCACTTATCTATCATCTCGATCATCTAACCTATCTATCCATCCATCCATCCATCATCTATCCTACGTACTGACCTACCTACCTGCCTAGCTCTGTATCATCTATCTGTTTGTCTATCATATTTTTCATTCTGAAAGGCAGATAAGCTAATGATTATTAAACAACAAAGTGAAATATTTCTCCTCTTCCTTCTTCTCTAAGCACACCCATCCTATATCCATTCATATGTGCTGAAAGTTAAAGCAAGATGTAAGTAAACACAAATATCAACATATTTGCATACCGAGATTTAAAGTTGTGATAAATTGACTTGATTTTACAAATTATCCCAGACACTTTTCCTTACTTGCTTGGGGAAGTACATTTCTTCTTTCAATCAATATTTTTATATATAAAAGATGCTATATATTGAAGTGTTCAATAAAAATCCAAACATGTAAGATACTACTTGGCAGAATGTGAAAAACAGAAAGAATGAGGTTGAATATTCTATTATCTAGTAGCTACCTTAAAATGTCTGAAAAATTTTCTTTGTAGAAATAGAGTTCATTCTAGCAATAAGTTAGATCTCTTTGCTGGCTGACATTTACCTTTTCACAAAGCTATCAAAATGCCAAACAACACTTTCACATGATTCTGGAGGTAGGGTTTCCAGATGATGTGAAATAAAACCACACTGTTTTCTTTTCTTTTCTTTTTTTTGAGTTGGAATCTCACTCTGTCACCCAGACTGGAGTGCAGAGGCATGCTGCCATGGCCACCATAACCTTGACCTTCTTGACTCAGGTGATCCTTCTGCCTCAGCCTTCCAAGTAGCTGGAACCACAGGCACATGCCATCATGCCCAGCTCATTTTTTGATTTATTGTAGACACAAGGTCTCACCAAGTTGCCTAGGCTGGTCCCGAACCCCTGGGCTCAGGCAATCCTTTCACCTCTGCCTCTCAAAGTGCTGGGATTACAGGAGTGAGCCACCATGCCAGGCCATACTGTTTTCTATAGTCTGCAACTCCCAGCCTCCTGTGATGTTCCACTGTTTTTCTATAATGCTAACTCTAGGGAAATTACAGACTGAATAGGACAGTGAATATCAAACAAGAAAAACTATAATTACCAAAGATTGCTCAACCAAGTATAGTAAAGTTGGAAAGAGATAGATTGGTTGATATCCAGGAAATTATTTAAAACAAGGTATTCTAGATTAATATAGTATTTACAAATATTTACAAATTGAATATTAAAATATATTAAAAATATCATAATGTTACAGACTTATTTCCTGTCTTATAAAACATTATTAACATCTTAGTTTCCTTGATTGGGATACCTGTATTAGAAGTATGAAAGTAAATTAAATAGTATATTACTTACTCTTAAAAAAAATGGAAATTTTTTCCCATAAAATCCAACTCTGAAGAACTCTGGTTCAAGTCGCTGCTGATCCATAATTTTGTCATACAAAGAGGCTTCCATCATCTAGAAAAGCATAGGAAGAGTTCTAAAATTTGGTTCACTTTCGTCTTTATCAACTTATAGAAGAGGATTTTCCTTGTGTATAAAGGAGAACTTTATTTTAATTGAGTCGGAGAAATTCTGACTCCATTTTTGATGTTTTAAGGCAGGGACTGGCTAACTTACCTATAAATGTCTAGAGAGTACATATTTTAGGTTTTGTGAGCCATATGGTCTCTGTCAAAGTAACTACTCAATTCTGCTAGGCCTACAAGCTGTAGTTTGCTTTAAAGGATCAAGCATATTATTACACACTATGACCAAAAAAAAAAACCAAAAAAAGTATTCCTATGCAATCTTTCCAGGAAATATTTTCTTCACAGTTAAATAGAAATGAACATGAATTATCAGAAGCAAAACCTTTCTGGAGAATTCTCGTGCCAGATGTAGTCACCTGTGGATTTGCTTCCACCTGGCTTGTGGCAATAATTCAGGACATTTGGAAGGTGCAACCTTGCACAGCTTGGGCAGGGATAAGCCAACAAACCAAACCAAAGGAGACCCATAGTGCAAAGTGCTGTCTGGGCTGAAAGCTCTTAAGTGTGTCTGACAGTGTTGAAACTATGAAGCACATAAAGCTTATGGCTTCCCATTCATAGTATTATCATCCCCAGGGTTTCCAGAGAAAGACTAATATTGCACTTGAACACTCCCCCCTATCCCCCACCCCCAGTAACAACACCCCAAAGAGCAGTTGGCATGAAGTGTAATGCTTTGAGTTTATAAAAATCACACCCAAGGGCTCTCACGGGTAAATATCGTCACCTCGCTTCTGTTATAGGGACAGGATGCCAAGAGATGAACAGCAATGTTTTTATATAAAACTGCAGTGCCTGCCAGAATCAGCATGATGGACTGAAGTTAAAACAATATTTTTCTCTCTGGTTTTCATGTTAGAAGAAATATCGATGAACTGCGGACATGAAATGCTAAGCCGAAAGGGCAGAGTCAGTTTCTGCCAGTTGAAGAAATTCCTTGTTGGGGGGTAAGGGATTTTATGAGCTGTTAAAGGCTTATGGTATCATCTTTTAAATGGCTACCTCAAAGTTAAAAGGTAACATTGTAATCTTTTTTAATATATAAAAACTGATGATCCTATTTTAGAAAGTCTGAGAGCTTAAGCACTCAGCAGGATCTTGTATATTACAAGATGACACAAAATGCTCATGTCACTAAAGAATAAAGAGGGCAAGAAGGACTTGTTTGAACCTAAAAGCAAAGAAGGTATAAAACATTTGGTTCAGAGAAGCAGAATATTAAATGCCTTGAGCTCTTAAGTACTCAAACCATGGTCTAGATCTAGTAAACAAAAACATATTTCTGAAGCTATCGAATGTGACCCTAAATCATTTAAAAATGAGTCAGGAGCCATTTCTACAGATTTGCAGATTATGGGACTAAGAATGAGAATGGCACAATTACAGAGATTCGTGTGAGAGTGGAAGCTCTTCAAACAGCGTGGAGGTTTTCCACAATAAACTGAAAGTATTAATCCTAGATTCAGTTGTATGTTTCATATGTGGTATTTTAGAATAGATCAGGGGTTCATGTTTTGTACATTAATCAAAAACATTATGCTATTTGTCTACGTAAATAGCTGAGTATGCTTCAGAGGAAGCACATCATAAAAAAGGGTTCCTGCGAGACATAGCAAGATGATCACAAAGTTAATTTCATAGAACCACATTGGGAGTCTAATCAGAAAAGGAGGCCACAGCCTGATGAGATGCAGCCAGGCACCTTACCCTCATCTTGCTCAGGTTCCTGTAGTCATAATAACTCTCGTACTGCTCAGCAATCTTCCGGCACAAGATAATGCCATTCTCCCAACACTGTGGACAAATGAATGGTATCAATGGAACCATCCCACAACACTGACTTCCTTTTACTCACAGGTCAGGACAGGTTGCTTTCAGATCATCAAGACTTACTCCTTCGATCACATCACTACAATTTTCAGCTTGAAAACATCATGTAATTAAAATGCAAATTATTAAAAATCTTTAGAAAGTTGGAGATGATAGCCAGGCTCGCTGGCTCAGCCTGTAATTCTAGCACTTTGGGATGCTGAGGTGAGTGGATTGCCTGAGCCCACAGGTTCAAGACCAGCCCAGGTGTGGTGGCGCACACTTGTGGTTCCAGGTAATTGGAAGGCTAAGGCGGAAGGATCGCTGGAGCCCAGCAAGTCGACACTGGGGTGGCCGTAAGTGTGCCACTGCACTCCAGCCTGGGCAACGGAGTGAGACTCTGACTCAAAAAAAAAAAAAAAAAAGAAAGAAAGTTGGAGATGATAATCTACCACAATAGTCATATGTTACAGAATATATGTTACAGAATATATGTTACAGAATATATGTTACAGAAGCAATATTCTGTTATTCCAGAATCATCATCTATGAAATAACAACAGTTCTACAAGGGTCAAATAGATGGATATAAACAGGCCCTTGGTGCTGAGGAGGAAATTACCACGGACTCTTAAGGCCCCATAATTATTATTATTTTTATTATTACTTAGTTGGGGTCTCTGTCACCCACACTAGAGTGCAGTGGCATGATCATGACAATCATAGCTCACAGCAGCCTCAACCTCCTGGGCCCTGGTGGTCCTTCTACCTCAGCAGCTGGAATAGTTGAGATTACAGGTGTGTGCCACCATGCCCATCCAATTTTTTGATTTTTTTGTAGAGGCAAAGTTTTGCTATGTTGCCCAGGCTGGTCTTGAACTCCTAGACTCAAGTAATCCTCTGACTTTGGCCTTCCAAAAGGCTTAGATTATAGGCGTGACCCACCATGCCCAGCCCTAAGACCCAATTATCTATGACTGGACCCTGGATTCGTAAGTTGGCTAAGTTGCCCTTGCAAATTGTGAGTATCCTAGCTGGTTATTCTCAGCAGACATTTAAAAATTCTTAGATTTAGCAGAGGTGCCAGTGAATTTTTTCTGCAAATGGCCAGAGAGAGTCAATATTTAAGGGCCGTACAGTCTTTGTCACAATGACTCATTCTGCTGTATAACACCAAAGGAACCATAGACACAAACAAGCATGGCTGTATTCCAGTGAGAGTTTATCTAGGGGCTGAACACAGTGACCCACACTTGTAATCCCAGCACGTTGGGAGGCTAAGGTGGGAGGATTGCTTGAGTCCAAGAGTTTGAGACTAACCTGGGAAACAAGATGAGAACGGGTCTCTACAAAAAATCAAAATATTAGCTGGGCGTGATGGTGCATGTCTGTAGTCCCAGCTACTCAGAGACTAAGGTAGAAGGCTCCCCTGAGCCCAGAGGTTGAGGCTGTGGTGAACCATGATCATGTCACTGCACTCCAGCCTAGGCAACAGAGTGAGACACTGACTTAAAAAGAAAAAATAATTTATCTAGGGATACTGAAATGTGAATTTCATGTCATTTTCCTATAGTATAAAATGTTATTCTTTTGATTTCAACCATTTAAAAATGTAAAAAAAGATTTGTAGCTTATGGGGCTATATAGAAACGGGTGATGAGCCATTTGACCTTGGACCATAGTCTGCAACCCTGATCTAGCAAAAACTCTTGGGAATGGTCTCATATACAAACCAGAGATTTTGTAATAGGTTATCCCACAGGTGGAAACTTCAGAGCCGGAGGGAACAAAGACATTTCTTTTGCTATTCATGTAATGATAGATCAGTGTAGCTAGATAAATAATAAAGGAGGATGTGAAACAAGCAATTTCCCTACATCAAAGTTTTACATGGACCCTATTATATTTTGTAAAGGAATAACAGCCACTGGTGGTATGTTAATTTTCTGTTTAACCATTGCAATTTGGGAGATGTATTTAAACCTAAAACATGTACTGTCAAAACATCTGAGTGTTCAAAACAAATAAACATTGGTGGTCAGATTGACACATTTAAAAAAAGAGTACTGGAGGGGATGGGAGAACACAACATCAGTATGGGTACCTGATCTTAAACCAGGCAAAGTGGGGACCAAAGGGAGGCCCCAAACTTTACCTGTACGATGACCACTTATATACCTAATCCTATACCCTACATCTTTTTTTTTAAAAAGAAGAGTACTGAGAGCCCTTGAAGAGGGAGCAGAAGTTGAGTTGAATAAAGTGATGTACTAAAATTGCATTATGAACTATGAGGTTTACTTAGCACCTCAGAGCATCTCTGTATTTGATGGGATGCTCTAAAATTCTATAAATAAATAGTTTCATATTTTTTATTTTTAAAAAAAGGGGGGCAAAATGCATGCCAATTTGGGGAGGGAGTGAGGGGTGACAAAGGTTTTTCAGAGAATAAAATACCTGAGTGCTGTGGTCTGCATGTTCAGGTCCCCCTCAAATTTACATGTTGAAATCTTAACCCCCAAGGTGACAATATTAGGAAGTAGGACCTTTGGAGGTGATTAGGGAATGTGTGGTGAGCCCTCGTGATTAATGCTAATGTCCTTATAATAGAGGCCCCAGAGAGCTAGTTAGCCCCTTTTACCATGTGAGGATACCTCAAAAAGGCATCATCTATGAGGAAGCAGAGCCTCACTGGACACTGAATCTTTCATGTCCTTGATCTTGGATTTCTTAGCCTCCAGAATTATGAGAAATAAATGTTCATAGGCTGCCTAGTCTAGGGTATTTTGTTATAGCAGCTGGCATGGACTAAGTCATTAGGTGTCAAACCTCGAGATCAGTGTTTACCAAAAGTGTAATGCAAAGTTCATGCACATTGGAATTTCCTAGGGTCCTTGTTAAAATCAGATTCCCCAACCCCATGCCAGACCTACTTAATCAGAATAAGGGGTGGGACCTGAGAATATGAATTTTAACAAGTTTTTGGGTGTTTTAAATGCATATTGAAATGTGAGGATTGGGACGGATGGTGGCTTGTGTTTGTAATCCTAGCACTTTGGGAGGTTGAGGCGAGAGCATCGTTTGATCCCAGGAGTTCGAGAGTTCCAGATCAGCTCGGGCAACAAAGTGAGATCCTGTCTCTATTTAAAAAAAAATCCAGGTGTGGTGGTGTTCATCTATAATTCAGGTACTCAGGAGGGTGAGCAGGGAGGATTGCGTGAGCCGAGGAGTTCAAGGCTATGGTGACCATGATCATGCCACTGCACTCCAGCTTGGGAGAGAGAGCTAGACATAGTCTCTTAAAAAAAAAAAACACAACAAAGTGAGGATGCCTGCTCAAGGAGTGGCCATTCATAAACTAGAAATGAAAGGAAAAAGGACACCAACACAATCACCTCAGGAGGGACTGCAGGTCGGACAGGGTCACTTACTTTGCCTCTGTCAAAGTTCTGAATGATGGTGAGGTGCAGGTGTTCCTTGCGCTGCCACTCGGTTTGCATGGGGTAAGTCAGGAACTCCCTGAGGGGCCGGTCAGACCATTCCAGCAGCTCATCATATAGCAGGAGGGTGTATGCAGCTTCTGCAAGCCAGGAGGGAAGGCAACAAATTCAGGCAGGACTCCAGACCATACTCCCTCAAACGGGCCAGTTTCAGAGACATTGGAAAAAAATGAATGGTGGCTTCCCCTGAATGAGGGAATTATCAGAGATCTGTATTCAGTCTTTTGGTTCCTTGTATTTTCTGTTTCTCTATTTTTTTGCTTTTTGTTTTTGTTTTCCCTACAACATCTGCATGCCATGGCAGAATAAAAATGTTCAAGGATCTCTTGTTGTTGGTTCAAAGATGTAGGGGAGACAGGCCTTTGAGTGCAAGGATAGTTCGCTTAGAAAGTCCTTTGGGGACTATAAGCCCCTTCAAAAGGGCATGCTTAGGAAGAAAAAAAGGCAAATAAATTCTTCTGGATAACACAGGGATAAAAAATTGAAACTGGTGTGTATGGGGGTTCAGAGTATAGGCAGAATTTTGAAGGGGCAAAGAAGCCAGAGAGGAGTTGAGTAAAGACAAAAAAAATCGAGTGACAGAATAAGGGTGGATGTCTTGGATGGGGGGGAAGAGAGAGAGAGAGAGAGAGAGAGAGAGAGAGAGAGGGAGGGAGGGAGGGAGGGAGGGAGCTGAGAGAGAGAAAAAGGTGTTGTGGGCTGTGTGATATGACCCCTTGTTTCACCCCACAAATCTTCAGTGAAGACTACTGAAATCATGGCATGCTTGATATGATTGGATTTCCTGTAGAAATAAGCAAGGGGGTGATTTTCTGTATATATACAGACGGAACAAGCAACCTGTGGATTTAAGCATGGTTGGCAGATGGATAGTGTAGTTACAGAATATTTGCCATTCTTCAGGTTTCTTCTTTTCCTGAACCGTTGATATAGCAAATAGATCAAGAATAGGAACCAGAATTCATTGCCATTGATGAAGGAATACAATAAGCTTTTCTTCTAATATTTTAACAGCCAGCTCATTTACAAAATTGAATAAAAATGGACAAACATGGATGTTATTGAGCCATTTAACACTACCTCTTAAAAGACCTAGTAATGACTTTTCTTGCCTGTAATCCCAGAACTTTGGGAGGCCAAGATGAGAAGACTGCTTGAGCCAAGGAATTTGAGACAACATAGTGAACACTTGTCTGTAGAAAAAAATCTAAAAAATTAGCCAGGCTTGGTGGTATGTGCCTATAGTCTCAGATACTTGGGAGGCTGAGGTGGAATGATGACCTGAACCCAGGAGGCTGAAGCTGTGGTAAGCTATGATTGTGCCACTGCACTCCAGCCTAAGTGACAAAGTATGATGGAAGACCCTACAAAAACCAGAATTATCTTTTGGAGGGCAGATCCCTTGTAGTACAGGCTTCCACCACTAGGTGTTTTAGGAACCCATCGGCATCAGTGTACCAGCTAGTTTAGCTGTGAGAGGCTGTATTTGACTTCAGTGAATTTTTTTTGAAGATTCAGTCAACCTATTTGCCCATTTCATGATGGGTAATTTGCAAGCGCACCTGCTCACACCATGCTGAGTTTTCAGCAGTTTTTGGCCAAAAATGGCATGACCCCCATGCCCTACCCTCCCTATTCACCTTGTTTCCCCAGATGAAAAAAGCTCTCAAAGGGAAACGCTTTTGAAACAAAAAACAGGAGGCATTAAAAGTCACCAAAATCGACGAGTTTAAAAACTTTTCTGAGCAGTGGAAAAAGTGTCTCAATAGGTGTAGTGCATCAAACGGTGAATACTTTGAAGGTGACTGAAGTTGAAACATGTCAAAATAAATTCATAATTTTTAATAAATAAATTCTGGTGTTTTTGGGGTCCCCTGTCATAAGACCCTGACGAAAAAACAAACAACAACAACAAAAACCCTTGTAGTAGCTTTTAAGATGGTATCAATAAATGGTAATTATTTTTCTTCCTTTATTTGTCTTAAGGATAACTACACATAAAGCCCTAAAGTAATGTGTTAAGTTCTAATATTATGATTTGGCCATCTGCATGTAAAAAAGACAGTTGTAATAAGAAGGGTCGTGGTTGCCATCACTTGCCTCTTGCCTTTTCAGTGAAGAAGTCCCATGAGACACAGCATCTGGCTTTTTTCTTCTTCAATTACCTTTAGTGAGCTCATATACTCTCCAATCTCAATTATTGTTGCAAAAGCTCTCACAACCCACTGGCAGTCTCTTATCACCCTATATTCAGTTTGCACCCTGTTACCAATATGAACTTCCTTCAATGCAAATTACCATGCTGCTCCCCTGATTAAAACCAGTCCACGACTCTCAGTAGCTAACACCATAAATTTAGGCCTCTAAAGTGACGGAGAAGGCTGCTTATGATTTGGTCCTTACTGGCCTCTCTACCCACATTTTCCCATTGTGCCGCTACAGAGCACAGGTGAGAGGAGCCCAACCATCTGTTTAAAGAAGCCTCAGTAGCTGCTGAGCCTCCAGCTCCCACAGTTGGAGCCCCTGGACCCCATCATCAGCTTTGGAGAGACGAGCAAGATGCAGCCTGGTGCAAAGGCATCTGGGCACAAGAAAGCTACCCAGAGGGACAGGGGTGCCTCCTGTTGCTTGTGCACTCACTGGCCTCTTTCTTGCAGGGACTGACTGCGAGATGGACAGAGAGAGCCCACACTACACAGCTTCAGTAACCATTGGAAGCAGAAACTGAGCTGAATGGCTATAACACAGCTCGCCATGGAAGACTACTCTGACTTTACAAGAATGACAATCATCAGATCTTCAGATCTGTGCTGTAGCTTGAACAGCCATCTAGTTTTCACTGAGATCCTCTGAGATGATTTCCTGATGTTTAATTCCCCACACATCTTTAAAATAAATGCTAAGCATCTCAGGAAACCCCATGTGTATCTTTGTTCCCTCATCCACACTCTCTGCTCTTGCCATCTAAACAAGCCTGGTTCCCTTTATCATACAGTGCTGATTTGCACCTAAGGGACCCCTCAGCCTGTTCCTTCAAGCCTTCCCCCCAACCCCAGCTGCCGAAAACTCCTGCTTTCTCCTGATGACCTAGCTTAGGAGTTATCTTCTCTAATTTCTTTTGTGTCTCCCCCCAGCACGTGAGCACTCAGAAAATACCCTAGAGACTAACTTATCATTTGTAGGTTTAGGAGGACTGAAGGATAGCCTTTCCACAGTTACCCACAAGGAGTGACTTAAATGGCAATGAAGGTCAAATTCAGAAATACAGAAAGTACAATAGTGGTTGTCTTGTCAAGAGGGAATAGGGAGTTAGAGTTCAATGAGTACAGAGTTTCAGTTTGGGAAGATGAAAAGAATATGGAGGTAGATGGCGGTGATAGTTGCACAATATAAATGTACTTAATGCCAAAGAATGAACTTAAACATGATAAAAATGGTGAATTTTATGCTATGTGTATTTTACTGCAATTATTAAAAAAAAGAAAAGAAAAAGAAAGAACAATGAAAGTTTCTAGCCCCAACTGTTTCCCCAGTCAGGCTTGCCAGGCTTGCCCTTGGAAAGTTCAGGGAGAGTTGAATGTCAAGTGTGGGTGAGCTGCCCCTGCGAAAGTCTGGGAAAACAAGGAGGCATCAGCAGGCTATCAGGTGAAGCTGACAAATGACTGACCAGTGGCATGGGAAAGCTGTAAAGACAAATTATACCTGTTTCAGAATTTGATTTGGGAAAATGATAATATATACCTGAGATAAATTGTGTACACAGAGGAAGCTGTAGAAAATTTTAATTAAATAAAACATATATACCTTAAGGTATGAACAACACATCAACAAAGCTGATTTCGAACAAATTAACAAATTGCAAATCTTTTAGTGTAATATGTTGTATGTTTATTCTTCTGCATCTTGAGAAGACAAAATGTACTGAAGAGGGAAGAATGACTCACTTCCAAGATTTTCTACAATCTTTTAAAAAACATTTATAATTGAACAAAAGGCACTACCATATTATTAAATATGGGACATCTCATTCTACCATTTTATGAAATATATAGTAAGGACATCAATATGCAAAAAGAAACAACTTGAATGAATAGCAATGGAGGACATTGTCACAAAAGGCTGAAAAAGGGTTAAGTCATTTGAACAGAATCCTGTAAGGATAGAAAAATTTTCCCATCAACTTCACTTTCTCCAAGGACAAAAATGAGGACAGAAGAGAAAAGAATAAAATGTTACATGGGAAAATAACTTATTTCATATGACTTTGGGGAAAATAAAGACTGCAAATTGAGTAAACAAACTTAAGAAAAAAGATTTACCCATTTCTGAATATAATCAGACAAATTTGGACTTTATTTCAGAGAACCAAAATATATCTGTTACATATCTGGAATAGCTTGTCCTCAGTTCCCTCTATCATTTCTATTTTTATGGACTTTAAAATTTTAAAAAGTCTCTAAGTTGTTCCTTTGTGATTCAAGAATTGCCAATATTGAAACAAAAAATCTGCTTACCAGGTGTGAAAATTTAATTAGTGAGTACATTCATTAGTAATGCATTGATTTAAATCTCAGATTGCTAAGCACTATTCCAAGAACTCAGAAAATTAAGGACAAGAAAACATCACTGCTGTCCTCAAGAAACTCACCTTGAACATTATCTATCTATCTATCTATCTATCTATCTATCTATCTATCTATCTATCTGTCTATCCATCTATCCATCCATCTACCCATCTATCCATCCACCCATCTATCCATCTATACACGAATACTTATACATGCATGCATGTATATTTACACAATATATAAATACAATTATTAATAAAAACAATGTGATAAGTGCTTTAATGAATATCTGGAAAAATGCAATGGGATAAAGGAGATGGAAAAATCAACTCAGCCTATGAGAGAAGAGTTCATGTAGTTGGTGAAAAAATGAGATGAAAGAGAACTTCAGGAGAAAGAAGGCTTCATGGAAAAGATGATGAAGGAGCTGATCTTGAAGGATAAAAAGAAAATACGTGGTACAAGTGGCAGGAGGAGGCCGGACAGATAAGCACTTCAATTATGACAGACCTTGATTAAAACATTTAAAGTTTATTTTGCAGACCACATAAACTGACAACAGAGTGATATCAAGAGAAGGGTTGGCAAACTTTTTTTTTTGAGTTGGAGTCTCACTCTGTCACCCAGACTGGAGTGCAGAACATCTAGTAATAGTTAAGAGACAGTCCAGGTGAAGATAATGAAGGTCTGAGGCAGTAAAAGTGGGAACTAGGATCAGTAGAACAACATGAATGATTGTTCAGAAGAAGTTTAGAAGAGAAGAATCAAAGACAACATCAGGGTCTCCAGACTGAGTGAACAGTGATGCTATTAATTGAGATAGTGGGACCATAGCTAGAGGCATGATTAAATTCTGGTAATAAAAGTACCATTCCAGGAAGGATTCCTTCACTCTTTTAAAGCTGGGAGAGGAGCCATGATTCAGGAGTTACTTGGAAAAATACTGTGAGTTCCTTGGAAAAATACCAAGATTTGTAGTTCCAAAATCTAATTAAAAGGTTCTGGTTCTGGTTAAGATGGAGTAAGTGCATTCCACCCTATTTTCCCCATTGTTTAGAGCTAAATACCCTGGGCAGAATATACAACACATCTATCGAAGGACTCTGAAAAGTAAAAAAAAAAAAAAAGCAGGTGGACTAAGAAAGAAAACCAGTTTCAAAGAATAACAATACATTGTTGCATTCTCTGTTTTTATTTTTTGCCTCCCATATCTCCTGGCTTAGACTTCTCTATTGCTTGCACTGCAAATGGGAATAGACAGAAAAAGCTCCAAGAAGAGCTCCTTTAGTCAAAGTACTAGCAAGAGGACCCCTTTTAAGATGGAGGTCTTTAGATTCTTCTGGTGCCTAAGTAAGTCCTAGAACAAAGCTGCAAATTGTGGTGGCAGTGGTGGCAATGGCAATGGCAGTAGCGGCTCCTATAGGTTCCTTTCTTTTTCTGCTTTTCCCATAGGAAGACCAATTATAGGGAGTGCATCATGGTATGAAGAGGATCAAGCCTTGGCTTTATAGCCAGAGTTTTAGGAAAGGGAGTCCTGGGGAAATGGAAAGAACCAGGAGGATCACAGAGAGGAGGAAGTTCAAGAAAGGAATATGTTAATTCTATATATGAAGTCTTAGGCTCATATCCAAGGTACAAGTGTAGAATGAACAAATGGATCAACAAAATCAAGACCTCTGTCTGTTAGAATGTTTAAAAAGTCACCATTTCCCAGAAGATTTTAACAGAATCCAGAGTCTCATAACCAAAATTCAAATGGTCCAGGATATAATCCAAAATTACCTGACCTTCAAAGAACTAGGAAAACCAAACAACTCGCCAAGGACAAAGGCAATTTACAGATGCCATCTCCAAGATGACACAGATGTTAGGATTATAGGCAAAGACTATAAAGCAATTATTATAACCATGAAGTAAAAGTGAACACTCTTGAATAAGTGAAAAGATAGAAGTTATCTGCAAAAAAATTGAAGCTATAAAAAGAAAACAACTACTGGAAATTTTAGAACTGAATAATATAATAATAAAAATTAAAGTTAAACTGGAAAAGTTAAACTGGAAAGGTTCTATAGTTGAGTAATGTGACAGAAGAGAATCAGTGAACTTGAAGATGAGTCAATAGAAATTATCAATCTGAAAAAAAGAAAGAAGAAAAGTTGAAAAAAAAATACATAGAGTTTCAGGAACTTAAGAAACAATACTAATCAGTCTAATATTTATGCCGTTGTAGAATCTCAAAAAGAGGAGATGGATTGGTACAGAAAATATATGCAAGGAAATAATGCCTGAAAACCTCCCAGATTTAGTGAAAGAAATAAGTTCATATATCCAAAAAACTCCTCAAACCCAAACAGATTAAACTTAAAGAAAACCATGCCCTTAGCAGGGCTCGGTGGCTCAGCCTGTAATCCCGCAATTTGGGAGGCTGAGGTGAGTGGATTGCCTGAACCCAAGGGTTCGAGACCCGCCTAGGCAACTTGGTGAGACCTCATCTCTACAATAAATCAATTAGCTGGGTGTGGTAGCACACGCCTGTAGTTCCGGCTACTTGGCAGGCTGAGGTGGAAGGATCACCAGAGTCCAACAGGTTGAGGCTGCGGTGGCCAGGAGTGGCCACTGCACTCCAATCTGGGTGACAGAGTGAGACTCCAATTCAAAAAAAACAAACAAGAAAACCATGCCCCTACATGTAACGGTCAAACCACCGAAAACCAAAGATAAAGTCCTAAAAATCCTGAAAAAAGTGGCATATTTCATAAAGGTGAGTAATTTAAACGACTGCATATTCCTCATTAGACACTGCAGAGGCCAGAAGTCACTGGATTAATATTTTAAAGTCTTGAAACAAAAGAACTGTTCACCTACAATTCTGTATCCAGCAAATATATCCTTCAGGGATGAAGGTGAAACAAGGAATTCTCAAATGAAGGAAAACTCAGAGAATGCTTTGCCATCAGACCTACTTTAAAAGAAATACTAAAAGAAGTTCTTCAGGTTGAACAAAAATGATAACAGAGGGAAGCTGAGAATTTCATGGATGAAGAAAAAAATAACAGTAATGGCAAATATCTGGGTAAATAGAACAGACTATTTTTATCCCCTTAAATTATTTGAAATAGGCATGACTATTGAAAGCAAAAATTATGACATTATCTAATGGGACTTTCAATGAATGTGGATGAAACACGTGGTAACTACCACATAAAGTGGGAAGGATAATGGGATCTATATTGTTGTGATGTTCCCATATTTAACTTGAAAGTGATAAAATAAAAAAAGTTGGGTATGTATTTTGTAATCCCAAGAGCAACTTCTAAAAAATTAGCCGGGCTCGGTGGCTCAGCCAGTAATCCCGCGCCTTTGGGAGGCTGAGGTGAGTGGATTGCCTGAGCCCGCGGGTTCGAGACCCGCCTGGGCAGTGAGACCTCATCTCTACAATTAAAAAAAAAAAAAAAAAAAAATCAGCCGGGCGTGGTAGCGCATGCCTGTAATTCCGGCTACTCGGAAGACTGAGGCGGAAGGATCACTGGAGCCCAGCAGGTTGAGGCTGCGGTGGCCGGGAGCGGCCACTGCACTCCAGTCTGGGCGACAGAGTGAGACTCCAACTCAAAAAAAAAAAAATTATGCGGAAATATAGTCAACAAACCTAAATATATATGATACATGAGATATATATGTATGTGGAGTATTTAGAAACACACATTCAATTAAAAATAAATTTTAAAGTAGAAATTCTTGAGTCTTCAGCTCAAATTATAAAGAGCACAAGCATTATCATATGTAATACACCAGTGTCCCACCCACATCCTCCAATCTAAGCCAAAAGACAGAATTACCTGTGAAGTTCTGTGCTTTGAGATGCAGATCATAGAGTTTGTGGATGTAGCGTATATACATCTCTTCCTTGTTAAGTTCAGTCTTATAGAAGTTCTGCAAAAAAGAGTAGAGGTATGGATAGTTCCTCAATAGTCAGGGGTCTACAAATATCTGCCTTTTACTCTACTAAAGTTTTATGTCTTGAGCCAAGAGAATGGATACATTTTTCTATGTAAGGTCTCTTTAAAAATAAAGTAAGGAGGCCCAGTGACATATTTTCAATTCAACACTGCCTCTGTTAAGCATTTCCTAGTAATTACCAGATAAGCTAGTATCTTCAGCTATTACCACTGATTCATATTTCTTTTGTTATTGTCTATTATTTATTGTGAGTTTAATTGTCAGTGGACAGACAGTTCAACTAAAAATATTAAAATATTGGCTAGGCACGATGGCTCAAGCCTGTAATCCCAGCACTTTGGGAAGCTGAGGTGGGAGGATTGCCTGAGCTCAGGTGTTCAAGACCAGCTGGGCAACTTGGCAGGACCTCATCTCTACAATAAGTAAAAAAATAAGTTGGGTGGTAGAGCACACTTGTAGTTCCAGCTACTTGGAAGGCTGAGGCGGAAGGATCGCCTGAGCCCAGCAGGTCGAGGCTGCAGCGGTTGTGAGCATGCCACTGCACTCCAGCCTGGGTGACAGAGTGAGACTCCAACTAAAAAAAAAAAAAAAAGAAAAAAAAAAATATAATATATATATTATATATATATGAAACAGCTTAACTCTTATATTAAATTTGCTGATTGATATTCAAAGGGCAGTTTCTTTAATTCTAAATTTCAAAGATATTTTGCTCCAAAGAAAAAGTCTCTGAGACTTATCGGTAAGAATGCATAAAAACAACGTAAAAGTCCCCGAAGAATTAAGTGAAAGAGGGTAAATTAAAGTACTCTTTATTCTTGTAAAAGTTTTTAAAATTTATTTTATTTTTATGGTATAATTTTTAAAAATTTTAAAGACGTGGGGTACCATTCAGGGTTAGGTACATAAGTGATCATCATACAGGTGAAATTTGGGCTTCCCATTGATCCTCACTTCGCCTGATTTGGGATCAGGCACCCTTATATTAGTGCCATATGCCCCAGCCTTTCCTGGCAGTGACCCATTACTGCCAGTCCCTTTCATGCCAGCCTTTCCTGGCAGTGACCCATTACTGCCAGTCCCTTTCAGTCCTCACTGAACTTAGTAAAACAGGAGTGAATATAAATGAAATTGGATTACAGTAAAAACGTGATGCTGTGTGTCTCCAAATCAGATACATTTGGTGAGCAGATCATTGTGCATTATGAAATCCCTGCTTGAGACACTTGAACTACTATTATCCTTTATTGTTGCTATTTTGACTGATGCTACTTGGTATGTAAAAGAAGGGAAAGTTAGTAATAGGGGGATAAATCTGTTGACGTAAAAGAGTGACAGACTTTTCTAAGAAGGAAAGGCCAGGAATTCTAAAAAAATTTTGAAGCTGATTAGTTAGATAGGGCTTTGGCAAGAGACAAAACTAGCCATTGTAGCTGCTGAATGTGTACTTGGGTTTGAAGCCTGAGGATCTTCTATCAAATATACTTTCTACCCACTACCTAACAGGTGTCCACACTTCAATCTGAGGACTCTTCTAATCTTGAGATTCTGATATTAAGTTGAAGGCATCATAAACAAATATTTTTTCAATTTATACCCTTATCCTCCCCCTTTCCTCTTGTTTCCTGTAATCTTGGCATTCTTTAAAAAGCTAATAATTCTATTCACGTCTCTCTTATTATAACCCAAATCATTTTAATTAGCAAGAATTGTTGTATCATAAACACAAGTCTTACAACCCCACAGCAGGTTTTTACATTATTAAAGGATGATTTGCTCTAATAGCTTTCTGGTAAGAAGCAGCTTTGAGAACAAAATAAGCGATCATCCTCTAAATAAACAGTTCTACTTAAAAAAAAAACAACAAATATCTCCAGTTAGCAGATAAGAATCTCTCACATATGTCTGGCACAACTTATGACACACAAACAAAAAACAATAATTACAATTCCCAGTATTAGTCATGTCAAATATTACACATTTTTACCAATTTTACACCAGAGTTTAACTTCGATCTTGTATGGGATGCCAGAGTGTCTCCTGAAGATAATCTGAAATTGACCTTTCCAAAGAGTTAAGAAAAATCTCTAAGAGGAAGTGAGTAGTTGAAGAGAACCATATTGCTACTAGAAAACATAAGGAACTTTCCATATGGAGTAGAAGTCAAAAAGGTTAGCATTAAGGTGATATATATGGTCCTTTAATAAGTATTCTTGTGCCAGTTTGAATAATTTCAATGTACATCTTTCAAAATGTTAATATTTTCTAGAAGAACTATTCTTGGTCAGTACAAAGATATCAGGATACATTCTTTGAAGTGATTACTGATGGGGCCACTGATTATATTAAGTCTCTGGCTTATTCCTACTGGGAAACTAGAGTAAACACATTTAGGGCAGAGTATTTACTTTTGCATCCAAGGAAATGATCTCTTCTTTTATACCAATTGAACAGTGAGTCTGGGAGTCTATATTTATTTGTTTACCTTTAAATGGAAGAACCTTGTGAAAGAAGATGGAACAATAGAGAGGATTCTCTTGGGAAAAGGATAAGTCTTTGCTTTGAGGTTTTTTATAAGACCTTGTGTCTAGAGTTGTGTTAGAGCCAGGGAAAGGAGACAAACTGAGTCTCTGGCCATTCCACCGGGAATGTGCCCAATCTTGTCTGTTTCAGAAGGATATGAACCGGCCTTTCTTTCAAAACACTGACATACATATAGGGACGTGGGAGAAACTCAGGCTGAGGGTCTTGGCTGTGACAACAGGCTGGCAAAAGCAGGCAAGAAACGGGAAACACAGCGAGGAAACTCAAAAGGGGAAATAACCATGTTCAAAGCTTGACGTGAGTGCTGAGAGGAGAGGTCAGCTGGCTGACCCAGTGGCTTGGTGTGATGGCCTGGAGGTAACTGTTGGGACTAATGACAAAAATTACGGAAGAGACTGCATAATATGTGAACAAGATGTGGCCTGATAGAGGATGCTCAGGTCCCGCTATTTTTAGGGACTGACACTGGAGGTGGAGATGTAAGAATTAGATTAAAGATGTGGAGGAGGTGGTGAGTGTGATAAAGATGGAGACAGTCATAGACTCAGAGGTGAGGAGCAGGGCGGCAAGCAATTAGGAGAACATAAAAAACCAGTTGCAGGAAAGCAGAAGTTCTAAGCTTTGAAGAGGGACTGTGAGAGGAGTAAACAAAACAAAACAAAACCAAAAGACAGAAACCGATGAGCTAAGAAAAGACAGGATCAAAGTGGAGGCAAAAAAAAAAAAAAACCAAAACTTTTTTTCCCAAGGTACAGGCAAGTAGAGAACAATACGGCTTGTGAGGGAGAAAAAGGATCAGAGTAAGAATAAGAATGACTATGCAAGTACTTAGAATAGATGGTGAGAACTCATCTAGTCTACAAAATGTAAGAAAAAGAAACATGATGTTCACATAGTTAGAACTAGACTCTTCCTGATATTCAAATCTGATTTTAAAACATCCTCCTTAGGGGAGAGAGGAAGGGAAGGGGGATGAGGAGGGAGGAAGGGAGGGAGGGAGGGAGGGAAGAAGATGGGGGCATGTGACAACACAAAGGGTACCTGGTTTATTACCAGGGGGAGTGAGGGACACCTAAAAGCCCAAACTTTACCTGCGCGCAGCCTACTTATGTAGTAAATCCTCACTTGTACCGCACAACTCTAGAATATATACATAAATTATATTATTTTTAAAAAGCTTCCTGGATTTCATATCTTTCTGTACTTCAAATCTGCTTAAAAGAAATTATCAAAAGCATTCATTTGCCTTGTATTAAAATACAAAAAAGTAAAGATCTAAATGTATGACCATTCCTCTGCTCTCTGGTGAGAATAGCATTCTATTTAATAGTTAGTTGTGTGGCTTTTATATAAATTTTGGTTTGCCAGGACAATTTTGGTTTAGCCTATCATCCTTACATCATGTTGAACTTTACTCTCAAAAATGTCTTGCTTGGTCATTCCAGTTATAATGCAAAACTTAACAATGGGGCTATTATAAATTCAATTTGCAAGAAAGCTAGAGAGTGACAATTGGTATGTTACACAGAAAACTGCCATTTGTTCACAAAAGAGGAGATCACTCATTTAGTAAAATGCAGAATGCATATCTAACCGCGAGAAAGGAAAAGAAGGACAGAAAGAAGCTGCCACATTTCGGAAGTAAAAAGACCTGTATCATAGGGACATGGTACTTTTTCCTAGGAGAGCAACCAAAGACTCTGGGAGGGTAAGGCAGTGCAACCAGACAACCTGATGGCCTCACTCTGGGATCCCGTGGGGGGTCTCCTGTTAGAGCTGTGGGCTGAAGAGTGGGTGCATTCTTTCATGTTCAGGGTTGAGAGTTTCCTGGGCTTTAATTCAAGCTGACGCTCACTATGCTTCTTTTAAAAACACTTCTAAGAAACAGCACATTGTGGATTAAACACAAACAAAACACAGTGTCTCTGTGAAAAACACAACTGTTAGGCTAAAAGGAGAAAAAAGGCAAGAGTTTACTAACCAGAAGGCTAACCGTGCAGCCAATCTTTTTGCCATCTACCTCTCCCATTTTCATGCAGTCCCTACAAACAAAAAGCAATAGTTAGAGCTTAAGATTCCTTCCTAGGGCAAACACATTTTGTTCTTTTTTATGCAGGGGGGGGAAAAAGTACTGTCAGAAATCAGAGGCAATTTGCAAGCTAAAGGCTCCAGGGACGAAGGGTCTCTGGTGAGGTTGGGGAATCAGAGGCTGCTGAGCACCAGTTTCTTCAAGAATTTCATTTCCATGTCAGGACTGTGCTGCCTTCTCAATGGACAGGGGGCTCAGGAAGCAAGAAGAGTGAAGGTAGTTATTGACACCTCCTAGAGAGGGGTGAGAAGTAGCTGGTAAGCCTGGCTATTAACAAGGAGAATGAGTTTCATTCCTAAAGTAAAACAAAACCAAACTAAACCACGATGTGTTTAAGTAGGATGGTTGGCTTTCACAGTTTAGATAATATATATAAAAAACAGGTATATGAAAGGTAACAGTGTAAGTGTAAGACCCCTCCTTTTTAAAGAGAAAAGCATATTTGTACAATTCTCAGTTACATTGTCTTCACTCTAAAATGGATACAGTCTACTGGTTCTAGTGAGTGAGTCTAAATACCAAAAAAAGATTCCTTTTTTTTTTTTTTTTTTTTTGCGGGGGGAGGACTCTCAGTCACTTTGAGAATCCTCTCAATTCAGCAAGACTTTGAAAGAACTATGAAAAATCAAAACAGAAAAGAAAATATTAAAAAAAAACAAAAACCCCAAAATTAAAACCCTGAACGAGCTAGTTAGAATTAGAAGTCCATTACCGAACAGCACCAGTTCCATGGTCTGGTTACCAATTCTTTGAGTGATTCACTTAAGTGAAATGTTGACTGTATTCTAACTATCTGATTTTCTAACCGGAGCGCGGCATATCTGGAGAAAGTGCGACTCGGCTTACCTGTAATCTAACAACCTCTCCATTAGGCGGGTTACAGTAGCAATTAAAGAAACGCCACTTTCCCTCCATGTTTCCCGCTCAATTTTCTTTAGTAGACTGGAAAAGAAAGAACCCAGGACATTTTCAACATTTATTTTTATCAGTCACCATGACAACCATTTTACTTTCATCAGTACCTTAAATGCCTTAGCAACCACTGCAACCTCTCACAAGTAGCACAATTTGCAAACAATGTCTTACCTAGGATAGGGACCAAATAGTGGAATTCTAATCCAGGAAGCATTGACAAAGCAAATTGATTTTCAGATTATCCAAGTCATAAAATACGAACATATGCATATAATCATATTTGCGAAATATAAAAGCACCTTACAGCTCAAAGACATTTTTTTCCCTAGCTTCCCTCTCACTCTAACAGAGGCTTACGCCTTACCCCATAAATAACACTGCAAAAAGCGAAAACAGGAGGACCTCCAAGTTTACTTCTAAGTTAGATCTTGTTTTATTCACATAAAAATGTTTTCCTACCTCTCAGTAGAATGCATCTTCATCCAAGCAATTTTACTGCAATGCAACTGCTACAGGAAAATCCTTGTGCAGACGGTATGACGTTTTGCGTTTTTTTCCTCTCACTTAACATTTGCCCACTCAATACATATTGTACTATCTGTGCACTCACTCAACAGTTTCATTCACTTTGTCATTAATCACAGAGGGTTTTCTATGTGGTTGTTACAGCAGATTGATGACAAGTACCGAACCACATCTCTTTCCTCCTACGTTTCCCCTAATCCTAAGCACCTTGGAGCAGAGGCACTATGTAAACACAAAATAATAACAATCATCATCATTAGGATCTGTGCTACTTTCACTCCCACCTCTCCACACATTAACAATGTACTTGGCAAAGGCTTTATGGCTGAACTTTCCCCAAAAGATAAAAGTAAGAATATAAGCGTGGCAACATGAGGGTACCCCTCCAAGTTTAATGATCATCATTTCTGTCCGAAATCTTATTTCCCTTTCATCTTGGTTTCAGGAATAAGATAGAAAACATTGCTTACAAGTAAAATCTAAGCATATCATGTATATACTTAGTTCAAAACTAAACACTGAAGAAAAAAGCTACTTTGTCAAAGTTTCTTTTGTCTGTGGCTATGTTCTCTCCCAATTTTTCTCCCCACCCCTCAACCACTCCACTTCTTTTTCTTGTTATTGCCCAGCAGTCTGTCTTGTCTCCTCATCTGTTGCCTGTGTATCCCTGGTCATTTGTGCTTCTGGTTTATTCTCAATTGTTTCCTAGGTTAAAGGTAGAGCCTGCATATGGAAGGAATGGAATTTGTCCTGACTAATCTTCCAGGGGAAGGCCTCCTCATTGGTCTAGATGTGTTTTCTTTTTTTTTGAGTTGGAGTCTTACTCGGTTGCCCAGACTGGAGTGCAGTGGCCGCTCCCGGCCACCACAGCCCTCGACCTGCTGGGCTCCGGCGATCCTTCCGCCTCAGCCTTCCGAGTAGCCGGAATTACAGGCATGCGCTACCACACCCGATTGATTTTTTGATTTTTATTGTAGAGATGAGGTCTCGCTGCCCAGGCGGGTCTCGAACCGGCGGGCTCAGGCAATCCACTCACCTCAGCCTCCCAAAGGCGCGGGATTACAGGCTGAGCCATGGAGCCCGGCGTGTTTTCTTTTAAAAAGCTAGAATAGCACTTGTTTCAAGCTTAAATGGCACATTGGTATGGAACTCAAGTGAAAATCTTCCTGCCAAAGTAATGCAGAAATTTCCCCAAGTGGCAGCCCACACCTCATATACTTTAGAGGCTGGAAAACAAAGAACTCAAGTTAAGTAATAATTCTAAAAATACATGGAGAATTCTTTGATGGGCATGAGCTTCATTACTTTGCACAGCCTCCCTATGCAGTAAGGAAAGAAAGCTACATAATCCTTTTGTAAGAAGAGGCAGAACTCTGCACAGCCTGTTTCCTTGACTAACTCCAGACCAAATGTTAGGACCCAGTCTAGAACCCAATTCATCTCCACTCTCAGTCAGCCTTGTTCCTTGCCATTTCTCAGTTTATCTGACACAAACTGAGAAGAGGTTATCAGCAAGAAGAGGACCGTCTTTCTAGGTATCCTGGGTGAGACTGGGTATTGTCATCTGCTCAATAATACTACTCATATGCTCACATTGAACCCATCTAATAAGAGTGAAAAATGATTTTCTCATTGCAAATTGATAAAGCTGCTTGGTTATACATGTAATGGGATTCTAACATTGGGAAGCAGGTTAAGTCATGGTCCTGAAGAATGACATTGATCACCAGGGTTTTGATCTATGAAAGAAATGTGATCCCTCTCTTGGTATCATAACAGGATTATGTTGAGGCCACAACTCTGATGTATAACACCTGTCTCTGTGCCTGCTCTTCTTAATCCAAAGAGAAGAGTTAGACACTCAGGCATGAAGTTGCATAATGAATTCTCAGTCTCCAAATGGTAATTACATGTGTGATCATTAAATAGTGAACTTTGAAATAATTTGGAGTCTGATTGAATTATTGAGAGCTATTCAGGAGAAAGCAGAGTGAAAGACTAGGAAAGCCCTGAGATGGATGTTACTTCTTCTGGAATGCCCCTTTAGAACCTCCAAGAATGTAGGCAGCCCTGCTGTGTGCTCCTAGCATGGTCGCTGCTGCATCCCCAACCCCGAAGGAGTATCTGGAATATGCTAGTGCTCAGTAAATAACACTGAATCAGTAAATCAAGCGGAGTTAGGAGAAGCAGAATTTAGTTCTGATACTGTATTCTGAATATTTCACATTGGTGTCTTTGATTTGCAATTTCAGTGTTATAAAAAATAGTATATCTCATTAAAAGATGTAAAATGTATTACTGAAGATAATGTTGGGAGTTAGGAAAAGCTAAGTCAAGTTCTTAGGAAGGAAAGTACCCTACAAATTTGAAGTCTCACTCTAAGGGTGCTATTTTGGCAAGATCTACAATTTAGAAAGCAGTGAGTTACTTTTAGCTTTTCGGTTTCAGAACAAATTTTAAGAAGTTTTAGACATGAATTACATAGAACAAATGAGAACCTGAACCATAACGGCATGTGTTCGTAATTCACAATGTGTGCAGTGACTTGCTGTGATTATACTAATTCATTGTGATTTCTATGGCCAAAAAAGCATTTTATTGTTTCCTGAAATAAAGTTAGAGTTTCACTTTTTTTCCTGAGCCCAAGTAGTAACGATATTTAATTATCACTTTAGATTTGATTTATTCCCAATATGCTGATCATAAAAGCATGAAAGAAAAATATTTATAGTAGCATATCTAGTAATATGCTAAAAATCAACAAAAGAATAAAAATCTCCATTGAATGAATCAGGCACCTTAAAATAGTTCTAATTATAGAGGCTTAATATTTTAATTATTGGTTTGATTCTAATGTCAAGGTACATCTTCTATTTCAAAGTCATATTTATACACAAGCAATTCAAATTGCATGCTATCAGGCCTTTATTAAAGTAGATAAGAGACACTGTAGAACTATGTGTTTATTAATCTTATGAATTTGTTATAAATAATTAATCACAAATCTCAAGAGATTCATTTCAATGAGTCCTTCTCATTTTGTTCTTTGTTCAAACCAAGAACTAGTAACAAAAATGAGAGCAGTTTTCAAAAGCAATTTTTTATACTGGATGAGGTTTTAATCAGAATTCTTGCTAAACTCCAGCTGTCATGACTGACGCTCCACACACTACAATGAATGAGGGCTTGGTGAATAATTATTAAAAGTTCTGGTTTAATTACAGTATCAAAAAATGATATCGTTCAGGGTTTAGTACAAAGAATGTGTTTTATCACCCATCACCACCACATGAAATCTGTATTCTTTTCTTTTCAATATAATTTTCTTGAAAGCTTCAAAATGATTTTAAATCAGGAAAGCTGAAATATATCTAACCTATCAGTCATGAATATTATTCTTCAAACCTATATATATTAATATTTCTACTGTTGTAAATTAATGATCATAAAATGAATTATGGAAGTTTGCACTTAGTCCATCAAAATTAAAAGCACTGACATTTAGTTTTAGGTGATACTTGGCCATAAAAACAAATACAATTTTTTAAAGTAACAAAATGCATTGGTGAGTTCTTTTGCACTTCTGAAAGAATTGCAAACATTTTCCAAACACAGTGAGGTAATTCTTCCTTCAAAAAGAAACACTTTGTATATACACTAGATCTGAAAATGACTAAGAAAGTCATAGAGGGAACAAGTGCCAGAAGTAAAATCTCAAAGCACCAAAACATTCTCATGTGTCCTCTCTGGCCATTTAAACACAGTGTATGAATACTTGGTACAAGCAATTCATCCTGTGACTGGGAATAGATTCTGCTGGTAGAAGCAACCTCAAAGTCCCTTTACAGCACTCCACAATTTTTCTATCTTTTATGCAATTCCAAAACACAGAATTTACTAAAAGTGATTTGCTTCTGTGATATTCTTATAAGAAGCATTTTAGAAAGCAATTCATGCTAAGTGAACAATCAGTATCAATGAATGAAATCAGGTGTTGAAGAACAGATGCAAACTAGGTTAATTTTCCCAACAGCAAATCAGCCAAGGATATCTTGCTTTGGAAAGCAGTGCATACAAACATTACAATCACATTCCTTTCTCCTCTCCCACTCATAACCCTACTTAAAATCATTATCTTGCAGCAATGGTTTTAAAATTATTAGGCGTGAAAAAAGTGAGATTTGTTATGTAACACATGCGACCTCTCCTAATCAGAGATTAAAATAAGGAGACATGTCTAATCATCAACATAATAAGATCCATTCGCCAGAGTTAGGCAATTATCCTTTATTTCACTCCACAAAGACAAAGCACTCCTGTGAGACCCAAGCTGTCTTTGCAGCTCTCAGCTACAGCGGTGCAGAGCGGCTCAGTACTGACACCAAAACCCCTGAACAGAATCAACGTGAGATAAACATATTACTCACATACTGTTGAAGAGCTCGCGGTATGTTTCGTCACCTTTGCCTTCTGACATCAGGCTATCCAGTTTGTCAATTAGCTTGGCTTCCACCTGAAACATACCCGAATATTATTCTGTCTTTTCTCCCGTTCACAAGTAGAATTTCTAGGCAGTTAAAACATATTTATTTATGCCAGGAAAAAAGCCACAGCAAATTTTGTGAAAGTGACATTATCAGCTATGGTTAATAGCAGACATCCCTTTGGAATTCTCAGGGAATAATCAAGATGGAGTTATATGACTTCACACTCCCAGCTGGGTAGCATTTACTGCTGCCAGAGACATCTAACTATTTGTTGATTCAAACACAAATGCTTGCAGCCCAGTTTAAACGTTTGAATTCTTTTTTAAGCACTATAAAAACTGGCAAGTCCTGTTTCTCTCTTTTTTTTTAAAGCATCACTATATATAAGGACACCAGGAAACTAACATATCCACATACATTAATTTAAATCTTTGATGTGTTTTATATCTATTTTCTCTCTCAAAACAGTTTGAGGTTGCACTAAATCTTTGCTGAAGTTGAGAACTTGTCCTATCCATGTACAGATGGCAGATCCATAGAAATAGTGTAAGTCAGCAATAAGCAGCAGGAGAGAGAAAGGACATATTTCCTGAAAACTGTAGTCAAAACATTTATATTTCCCAGGATGTAAATCCTGTGGAACTTGGATATCAGGGAGGGAAAAATATCCTTTCATCTATCTTTCTGAGGCAGGAGAAGAGAAAGAAAATGAAAAGCTTCTCCATGGGCAGAGAGAATTAAAACACTTAGTGATGGAGAAGGATATTTGACTTGGTTAAAGGACTAAGCTCAATTATTCCTTTAAACCGAATGTCATTCAAGAGATAAAGACAAGGGAGAATGATAGTGGGTTTTCTCTCCTGAGTGTAACTTTTTAATACTCTTTCATTCACCTATTAGCTTTCTTGAAAGTCAATATATATACTGCTGCAGGGGAATTGCCCAAGCTTTTGGCAACAGGGGGCGGTTCTATGTATGCAATCAGATTGCTATATGGTTGACAACCATTTGTAAGATTTGAGGGAGGCTTCCTTTGGAGAAGCATGAAGGAGGACTAAATCCTGTGGGCATACAGGTTTGTGCAGCGACTGTGTGAACACACAGGCCTGGTATCTCTAACACAATATACTTATAGCAAAAGCAGCAAATTCCTTAGAGATCTGGTTTTGTAATAAGAATGCCTGTCTTCCCAAAACTGGAGCAGAACCATCAGAACCTACATCAACGAGAAACAATAAGCTCATTCCCTTGGAATTTCCTTTGCAAGAATTTCCACTGCCTTCTCCTGTAAATTAATTCTCAATGCTTCAAGCAAAAAGCAATAAAACATACTGTGAATCAAATGCTCAAGCCATTTACCCAATACAATGTGCAGACCACTGAGAGCACAGTGAATTTAAGAATCATTAACCCTCTGATTTCTCTTTGCTGTGCCCAATGGGGAGTAAATAAAGTCTCTGCAAGTTCTGAAATACAGACCTGGAAAATCATATAATTTTTTAGCTAAAAGGGAATTAAATAGTTTTCAGGGTTTCCCTGGAAGCTCAGGAAAACATAGGACCAGGGAGAAGTAGCCAAGTTCGTGTGGTCTGGGAGTGGACAGGCCAGGCTAAAGTCTCGGTCTGCTGACCCAGTGTTCATTTCCCAACTCAGAGTTGAACCTGGAAGTTCAGAGATGCTTTAGGAGAGCTAACACTCTTTGTTCTAAGAGCACTTCTGCCTACCTGTTTAAAGTTGCCACTCCGTCTCTGCTCCCAGTCCATCATATCATGAAAAATCGGAATCATGACATTCCGAAGATCTGGCTGGGGTATCAAGGTCACTTCTAAGAAAGGGCCAATCAGGGCAGGAATGAAATGAAGCTTGTGTTCTCCTAAATTGAGTAAAATATTTGAGTTTCAATATACTTAATCTTAATAAGATTTCAGAAAATCAGTATTTTTAAATTTGTTTAAAACGATTGCCATAGGTATAATCAATTCTAGTTTTCTCCCCAAGTAAGAAAAGATAAGTAATTAACCTGTAAGATACCACTAAAATGATGTAAATCATCAGGAATTGGTTATGTGTACTATTGTGCATTCATACAAGAAAATTTTTATGTAGTCATTAAAAATGAGGCTGAAGAAGAATAACAGAGGTGAAGTTTTTCAATATAATTAGGTGAAAAGGCAAGGTACAATACAGTATGTACAGGGATATCTTTCATTCAAAAATACAAATATAGATGTTAGTCTAGAAGATTTTATCTCCTAATGTTAGCCATAGTAGTTATCTCTGGGTGGTAAGACTGTCGGTGATTTTTGTATATGAAAACAGTGGTTCTTATCTGTAATATATATATATATATCTTTTTTTCACATAGTAAGTACACAGCCTAAATAAAAATCTAAGTAGTTGCCCCCCAAATAACATAACCATTTTCTGAAAAACCTAAAACGTAACAATAGTGAACTCAAAATGGTATATTACCAAATGCTAAAAGGTATGGAATTGATAATTCAGAGGAAAAAAAGGCAGAGGAAGGAATGAACATAGATGATTTCATGTGAGTGTTAAGTTTATAACTCTAATTTTCAATGTTAAATCTCACAGAGGAGTTTCTAGACCTACAATAATAAGAATATTGCATGCTACAACACACTTAAGAGTGAACCTTCAGCATGGTGGCAGAAGCATATGACACTGAGAACATCCACTTAAAACTACAAGTTGGGAGTCTGAGCAGAAGCTAACTGGAAAGACAGCTTCAGGAAAGAGGGTAATTTCCCTCTTATTATTCTAACTTTGATCTTTTTTTTTTTTTTTTTGGAGATGGAGTCTCACTCTCTGACACCCAGACTGGAGTGCAGTGGCCGCTCCCAGCCACCGCAACCTCGACCTGCTGGGCTCCGACGATCCTTCCACCTCATCCTTCCAAGTAGCTGGAACTATAGGCGCGCACTACCACGCTAATTTTTGATTTATTGTAGAGATGAGGTCTCGCCAAGTTGCCCAGGTGGGTTTTGAACCTGCGAGCTCAGGCAATCCACTCACCTCAGCCTCCCAAAGGCGCGGGATTACAGGCTGAGCCACCGAACCCGGTATTTTGATCTTTCACAATGAGAGCTGACTACAACAAACTCATACTGGTCAGTTACCAGTCAATTTCTGAGTTAAATTCCCTTACATTAATGATAGTTTTCTCTTTTTTGCTTTTTGTACTAGAAGGCATTAACGTGGCTCCAGAGTTCAGACATATATGAGATCCAGCAACTAGGTTCGTGCACCATCCTAGAAAAAGTGCTACATACCTCATGGCTGAATATTACTACTGTTATCGTCCAAGTAATCCCTTGGGAAGCTCTGCATTGACACCAGTGCCTAGTCCACCTGTCAAAGCAATCTTGGAACTCTTTCTCTGGGATGACCATCAGAGCTGTCATTGTTATTTGTTGAGGTCTGACAATTAAGTTCATGAACTTGCCACAGTGCGCTTATGCTGGCAGCACTATACAAATAACTGTATTAGAACACCCTCCCTACTCACTTGATCTGGCCCCCAGTGACTTTTTTCTTTACCCGAAGACAAAGGAAATACTGAAAGACATTTTGATGACATTTGGAACACAAGGTAATACAATGACAACTCTGATGGTCGTTCCAGAAAAAGAGTTCCAAAATTGCTTTGACAGGTAGCCTAGGCACTGGTGTTGGTGCACAGCTTCCCAAGGGAAGAACTTCACAGGTGACCATAGTGATATTCAGCAGTGAGGTATTTAACACTTTTTCTGGGATGAGCTCATGAACTTGTCGGACTTTGTATGTGTAAGTGACAATATGTAGATCCAAGGTGCAAATGTATGGTTTAAGTGACTTTAGGGGCATTTTTAAAGAGAACATGAAAGAAAGAATTTGGGGAGGGGCAAAATGATGGATGAGATTAGAAATTAGGAAAACTCCTGTGGGTGTTTGTGAATTTGATTTTTTTGTTTTAATTTTAATTTTAGAGTTGTGGGGTATGTGTGGGAATTTGATACATAAGTAAATTGCACGCAGGTGAGGTTTGGGCTTGGGATACAACTGCTGTCTGTAGAATGTGGCCACTATCCCTGAATAACTGCTTTGTTCATGGTGCTATCAGATATTAGCAGGAGTGTGGCCAAGTCAAGAACAAGCTTTTCGAATCTTGGCAGCAAAGTAACACTGGCAATGGTTTAGTGCTTGAGGAAAGTGGGCACAGCACACAGTGACTTTTGGGCAATCAGTGAAACTGCTTACATGTTTCAAAGCCAAACTTGTATTTTTTTTCCCTTTTGGCTTACATATCTGGCATCAAGGAGACACTGTCTGATTAATTCTACCCCATGACATTTATTCTCTAATAGATCTTCAGAGTATGAGCACTTCTACCATGATAAAACTCTCCCTATCTCAATGACATGGAAGAGGGGCTACTGTACATTGCTGAATATTTCAGAAAATTTGAGGTGCTACACTGCAATGTTGCACATGCTACCAACATGAGAGAAGAAGAGTATTCATAAAAACTTCTCTATAGTCTATGACCCAGAGAGTTTAGAGAATCTTCTATGTCTCTATATGTCAATGTTTCTTTGACAGCAGTCAAAGCATTGATTTAAATGTATTTAAATTATTATAAATACAAAGAGAGAGAAAGAGAAAGCATTTCTTTCTCTTTGGGTACTTCTTTCCTGTATATGTTTTGATAAGGGACTAACTACTAGCTTAATAGAGAGTTTGGAAAGTTTGGGGAGTGCCAAGATCATAAAAATGTACTTTATTTTATATGTGTTTTCTGTATATCCATCTAATTAATGCATCCTGTCCTTAATCTATTCAATTATTCAGTGACTCAAGAAATAGAAATGCTGGGTATATTTTGAACCCCATATTAGGAGAAATACTTGCAAACAGATCAATCACAATGAACATATGGGTTACTGCTGAGATATAAATCTAGTCTTCAGAAAAAACAAACATGATACAGTTCATTCTACCTGGGGAACTGAGAAAGGTTGCTTGCGGGGACATTTTGCCTGGCTCTGAGGGAGAAGATGGCCTAATATGTGGAGAGTATCCTTGGAGGAGAAACAGCATGTGTGGCTCTGCCATGCCCAGAAGTTTGGTGTGACTAAGGTCAGGGTTGGGTGAGGGAAGTGCTGGCAATGAGGGTGGATTGGCTCATGTACAATGTTGGGCAGGAGAAGGAGTGGGAGCATTCAGCTGTGGGTGGTGTGTCTATTACAGCTTTATTTTGTAGGAATATAGCTTTGTGAGTAGTGTGGAAGATAGGCTGAATTGGGGAGATCAACCCTAGATAGTTAGGTTATCCAGATAATACTATAAAGATTGACTCAAAAGCAGCAGCCATGGTCATGAAATAGCCAGATTTGACGGCTATTCCTGGCCTGAACATAGAGCATGAGTGAGAACAAACACTGCCAATGAATGAGACGAAGTGTGTGGGAGAAGGAGCCAGTTTAGGAAGAAAGGTGAGGTAATGACTTCAGTTTGGGGCATGTTTGAGGTACTTCTAACACTGGATACTCTAGCATGCTATGCAAAGCTTGGTCTGGGGCTCAGGATAGAAGTCTGGGCTGGATACAGACTATTCCAGAACCATCAGTGATAAACAGGGTGAATGAAGTCACCATGGGGAACATGTGGCAAAATGTAAGAGTGTGAGAAGCCAGAGGGTCTGAGCACTGGTGTGCTGCGACAAGAGGAGCTGATTAAGCAGGTGGGGTGTGGGGTAGGGAAGGAAAAACCAGCAAGTGGCAATGTGGAATGACAGAGAAGAGAAGGCTTCCAGAAGTAGAGGGGACAAGAACGTCCATTGTGGTCACTATTAATAACAGCAGGTACTTGTCAGCACTTGTTCTTCAGCAGGCACTGCTCTGGGTGCTTACCTGTATCCTCCACAACGGCTTTCATGTATCCTCCACAACGGCTCCAGGTGGTAGGAACTATCCACCTCCTACTTACAGAGAAGGTAACTAAAATCCTGGGAAATCAGTCAATGTGCTCAAAGTCACTCAGCTAGTTATTAGGGTGGTCAATATTTGAACCCAAGCAGGCTGGCTCTAGAATGAATTCTTAATCACTCTCCTATGGATGGGACTCAACACAGGCCTTTATATTTGGCAGAAGAGTAATAAGAGAGGAAACCTGTTTATAATGAATTAAAGAGTAAAAAGAGGGAGAGAAAAGATGAGTCGGCAAAGATTGCCTATTTCTTCCCTGAAAGACGACTGATGGTAAAGGCAAAAAAGCCAGTAAGTTAGGAACTTGAAGGGATGAGAAGGAAGAGGAATTCTTTCTTTCTTTCTTTCTTTTTTCTTTCTTCCTTCCTTCCTTCCTTCCTTCCTTCCTTCCTTCCTTCCTCTCTCTCTCTCTCTCTTTCTTTCTTTCTCATGTGAGAGAACACAGTCACATGTGCCATTTGGCCAGCATTCTGTCCTTTGGGAGAACTATTTGTCCATCAGTCTGTGAGATTGGAATGTGGGTAGGGAATTCTCACTTTATTGCCGCAGTCTCAAAAGTAGGCTTATAACCTGGGCCTGATCACAAAGCCAACTTCAACTGGGCGCAGGGACTTATGCTGGTAGTCCCAGTTGCTCAGGAGGCAGAGGTCGGGGGATTGCTTGAGCCCAGGAGTTTGAGTCCAGCTTGGGCAACCTATTGAGACTCATTCTTTAAACAAGTAAACAAAATACCCAGGTTCATCTCTAGCTCCAGGGTCTGACTCATGAAAGGCACATCACCCAACGGGGACAATCTGTGGCTATCAAGAACTTTCTAAAAGGGCCCTCTGGAAAGAGGAAATAGACTTGAAGCTGATAGAAGCCATTTCCTACTGAATGCAGAGTA